AAAAAAAAAAAAAAAAAAAAAAAAAGAAAAAAAGCTGCGGTAAACGATAGCAAAAATTTGCTGGAGTTAGAAGAGTCAACAGAAAGATATTTAGCCGAAGAGTGCCAAGAAAAGTTGAAATTCCAACTGTTCCTAAAGAGCAAAATAATTCTGCTGTATCTGAGAAAAACTTCTTGAGATAAGAGCATGTTTGAGCAAATTAAAGAAGAAGTTAAGCAAACTGTTAATCTTGATGACTAGATTAAAACTCTATAGAATGGATAAATGATCTGCGGAAGAAAATTCATAAACCCGAGCAACATAGTAAATTATTTATGTTTAGAAAGTCAAAAAAAAAAAAAAAAAAAACATACGATTGAAGAAAGAAGCAAAAACTCAGTTAAAAGGACTAAAGCTAGATGGAGAGCTGGACTTGATAAAGGATTTTAAAATGATAAAGGCTTAGGAATTTTAGGTTTTGTAAATAAATCACGTGATACAAATTTAAACTTTACTGCAAAGTAAGAACATAAAAGCAAGGGGAAGAAAAGAGCCAAAAGAGATGCATAAAGACTGAAACGGTGAAATGAGCAAAACTAAAAAGGCTTTGTTTCAGAAAATCATTGGTATACTTGTAAATTAAGAGAGGGCAGAACTGCATCATCCGATTAATTATGAAATTTGCATAAACAGTGCAACAGCCATGGCAAGCCTCAAGACTGTACGAACGCATTACAGTTTGCAAGTTGTGTAACAAGTGATATTTATGACGTTACTACGGCACTTATACAACAAATTAACTAACTCTGTTTCTAAATCTTAATGCGGTAAAGCTTCAATTTTTAGCTTATTAAGCTTCCTTTTGTTGTAGTTCTTTTATAGCATCAATGAGACTTAGCTCCTTACCATCAAGTTTGATTTTAACGTCTGTGTTCTTCTCTAAATCTTCATAACTTGGTTTGCTACCTACTATTTTAATATTGTTATCAGAACTATATGCAATGTTGCATTTTTTTTTCCCATTGATGTAATATTTAAACTGCAATTCAGAGGAATTAGCTAAGTCATAACATCTGACTCTAACTTTTTTGTATCATCACCACTGTCAACATCAAATGGACGGCATTCTCTAAATTTTTTTGATAAGGTTAATTTTTCATTTAGCTGACCTTCTTTACAGAATTGTAAATCATGCTTGTTAGTTAATGCTTACTATATAAAGAGTTATACTTTTTATCTGGGTTAGGTTTTCTAGATAACAATCTGACATTCACTGCTTTCTTACAACTATTTCCTGACATTATCATAATCTTTATCTTAGTAAAATATTGGTCAACATCGTATTCTCTGCAAAGCATTCTCTCGGTTCTACGATCTGCTTGAATCAGACCCTATTTCACCTGAATACTTTCCTACAACGATAAAGATTTTATTGTTCTTTCTTTGAATCCAACAACAGTTGTGTAAGCAAAAAACTACGTTAATAACGTGAAAGAATTATGATCACATGACATGTGACTATAAAACTAAGGAAGGACAGCGACTACATTAGTCGATAAAGTAAAAGTAAATACGGTTAATATAGATGGAATATGGTTCAAGCTTTTGTGGTCTACGATTACACAGCATTTTTTTTAAGATCCACTTGAAAGATTGCATGTTATAACACTTGAAAGATGTAGTTTGAAAGTGAACGACAAGAAGAATAAGGAAGAACTCAGGAAGGAAAGTAAATGGAGACAGAGGAGGGATGAGATAACAGTGAAGAGAATCCATCATGCTCTATTTGAAACTTTTCGATTTAAGATTTTATTGAAGCAACCCATTATTGATAACCTAATGTATTTAATAACCATCGTTGCAGCTAGATACTCTTCTACTAAGTACACCTTTTTTTTGCTAAAATGAAACAAGTCGTTGTAATGATAGCACCGATCTTTAACCATTTGAAAATGTAAAAGTGAGATGAAATTATAAAGAAAATGGCTATTCTGTTACAGCGACATATTTGGATGACTCCAGTGAAGTTATGGATACAAATGTCCTATTAATTTGATGATATATGAATGAAGATATGTTTGTACGAACGAAAATGAAAGAGAATAATTTGAGTGGTGTGGATAATATGTGTGTCTTATAATATACGAAGCAGAAAGAAGTCGTAATATGAAGTAACAGACCGTAGAGGTAAACTGAAGGGAGTAACGCAATGCAAATATAGGTGGAAATTGTTTTCGTCTCATTATGTGCGATAGTGAAAGAGTAATCGATCTAACAATGAGCTGTTGACCTGGTTTACAAGCAAATCTAATTACTAGTTGACAAGCCGTAAAGGACAATAGTTAAGTAAAAGTTGTTAACCTCGTAGATTCAAGGATAATTTACAATTAGTGGCGACACAACAGTGAGGTCAACTAAATGAGGAACTGATACCGTGTAAACAATAGATAAAAGATTTATCCGTTAAACGTAAGATTGGAAACATAAACATTATTTGCAAGATTTCATTGCAAATATTTCTTACTCATATTCTAAACTGTCACACAATATTTTAGAGTTTCGTGATATTAAAATCCACGACAGATTGTCCCAGGAATAGAAATGAAGTTGCTGTGGAAAATATTATACATGAAGTTCAAAATGCATTCAAATTCAAAAAACAAAATACGATAGGTCCGTTTGAAAATGTCATCATACAAAGTAGAGCGACAATAGTACATGCTGCTTTTTTTTCTGTCACCATATTCGAATTTTTTTAAGGTAACAAATTAGGCATAAACTTTGATTTAAATTCAATTAGAACTCGTTTTACCGTTTTCATTTCTCGATTTCAATAACTCAGTCACTCTGTCAAGTATCATCTTTTCCTTTTCTGGCTAATCTAACTAAGACCATTATTAGATTAATACTGAAGAAAAACAAAAAAATCGCCCAAGTGTTACTGATAACAATCTTTCCAACGACACTAATTTTTGCGCATATTAGATTTTTAATTCTTTAATTTAGCTTTCTTAACACTAACAATCTTAGTCTATTAGACAATATTCAATAATTTATTACAAATTAACAAGAGTTAACACTATCTGTATATGTAATCTGAGATGTGCAAGCAGTCAGATACTAAGCCAATGAAAAATATGGAAATGTTTTGTAATCGGAAAATACTGGCTAACATCAAATTCTCCATGTAAATTTGTTAGCTAAAAATTTTCAAATAATTTTCACTTACTTTACACTCACTTAGTACTGTAAGAAATTTATCGTCTTAGATTCATTCTCAAATCGACAGGTTCAGAATCAGATATTCTATTTCACTCCTATTTTACAAAAGTTACTGTAATTATCATTTTTATCCAGTACAGAATTAAATAAATTTTCTTACACCTGAAAGATGCTAGTATTGGGCTGTAGTAATAATAATAATCATCTCAGGAACAATGTTCCGCTTTGCTGCCACAATCAATCTTCTCCAGATAGAAAACCATTATGTTGATAAACTTTATAAAATTTCTTCAAGTACAAATCATCCAGGAAAGTCATTTAAATTGAAGTTTTATCATGTCCTATTTTATATGAATTTGTGGCAAAAATGGTAAAATCGTCTTCGGAATGTTTCGAGTTTTCTTCATCCTAGCATTTCCTTCTAATATGGTTGATACTGATTTTGTCTTCAAACAAATTGCAGAAATTGAAAATCATGAGAACTAATATGCTTTTGTTTCAAATAGAAATGTGCATCTTTAACAAATTTACAACGCATAAATGCAAACTTCTCGTTAACTAATTAATACATAAAAGTGGCATAAATTGGAAATGTTCACTGATCTCGTACTGGAATGTAAGCAGTTGATATCAACTTATTCGCTATGTTTATTGGTATCCCTGATTAGCATTTTTCCGGAACCATTTTTTTTTTCACGTGTGTTAATTTGTTTGTCAGTTGAGTGATTAATAATCTATACTGTAAGTACTCTAGAACACTCTGAAACGAATTTCCAAAAAATGTAGCAGTTTGGGAGTTTGGAATAAAGCTCAGTGAAACAGCAGATCTACTTTAAACTTCATATCACAGAACTTCATATTCGTCATATATTCGGTTAAACATACTCATCAGTTTTGATAAATTGTTCTGAAGAATTTGGAAATTTTGCAGACAACATTACCCGGAGTTTAACTGAGCTCACTGAGAATTTACGCATGAACACCGCACTTGGACATATAAAGTCTAAAGCAAATGATTTTGTATCCATTTCATTAACTTAATTTGCTTCCAGAAAATATTGGGATCCTGATCCATGGAGCATGATCCTTGGAATATACCTTAAACTCAAAATAATAATAGTTAATAGTACAGTTAATAGCACATAAAAATGCCCAATATCAAGACTCAGAAACCCTTACAAGATAATTTTTACTATTAGAAAAACTATTTATTTAAAGTTTCACTTTAAAGAACATCATGCGGCTTCCCCAAAATTGATTATCCTCGCCATCTTCAGATTTCATAAAATGTTAAATAATAAATACTTGACCATTCCATGTATAATAAATAGAGAATAACTTATCTTAAATAAATTAGCTACCTACACAAAAAAAAAAAATCTTAACAACTGTTGCCTACAGCGACGCACAAAGAAATATATACGTATAAAGTTTTTGAATCCTGTTCATCCAGTATTTTCGGATTTCAGGAAAACAAAAAACATCTTCACTGAGATTTTTAATTCTGAGTTTGCATTCAAAATGTCATCCCTAAATAAGATTCTGCTCCAAAGGAAAAAAAGGAAGAAGCAACAAAAGCAGTGATCATAGTTCACTACGTGTTTTTGTGGCTTCTTTTTTTGAAGAAAACACGATACAACTCAAATTTCAGCTCACAATTAATATTCTCAATATAGCTTTCCTAATGTCAATTAAGGAAAACATCCTTAACAGCTAACAGCTAAATCAGATGAAAACGAAAAAATGATACCTAATAAGACACATATGTATCAGGCAAAATATCACAATCAATCACAGAATCAATGAAGTAACATCTGAGCTTTTAATTTACTGATTGTCCTATCTTTTTCCACCAATTCCTTACGCAAAGCATCATTTTCCTTAAGAAGTTGTTTCACAACATCGCTGTCCTCTATTTTCTGGAACAGTCAAATTTCAAAAAGTTCTTCAGACTCATTATTGTGTATAAAGCAATCAGTAGAGAAAGAGAAACATACCAGTGAGGTGGATTTGTTGGCGCCTTCTGTTGCTGCTGAGTTCTGAAAAAAATCCGAATCAATAATGAAGAAAACAATGAATAAAGCGATTCATTAGTAGATCAGCTAATTAAATTTTAGACAAAGAAATGATGAAATAATCCGAGTTTTTTTTACAGATGCATTCATAACTGATTTTAATATTCAGGCAAAAAGTTAATAGTCCCAAATTAAGAATGACTTTCTTAAGTACAAAAAGATACAAATTTCTGGAATAATTTGCACAGCTCTACGCTCCTGGCCAACACTTAAAAATCTTATAAAAAAGAACGGATGGTAGTAATATAATACGATAAACATACATTAATCAATCTTCTCAATTCCATCAGTTGATTTTTTATGTACACAACATCATTACACGATGATTCATACATCGCTACGCTAGGAAATGCAACGATCTTATTTCCATTGACCAGTGCTTCATCATATGCTTGATTCCTGTAGAAAAACGCAAAATTAGTATTTAAATTTCAAATCTATGAAGCGTAGTTTATAAGAATAAAATAAAGCCGAAATAGAAGTTTTTGCTGATGACACAATTCCATATCAAATTCGAGTGAAATTCCACAAAAGAAAATAATTTTATCAAAATTAGCAAATAGTCAACAAAAGCATGAATGTGGAATTTCTGCAATGAAAAAAAAATTACTGTCAAGACAAGCTATAGCTTCGAATGCATCAATGATAGGATACTTTTTGCTGGTTTCAAACAACTGTTATCATTATCGGAAGACTATAGAATTAACTACTTGTTCCCCAAAATGTTTTCGGATATTAAAAATACTTCTGATTCTGAATTTAGGAGTTCTTAATGAAAACTGACCTCAAACTGTAGACTGTAAAAAAAGTAAGATTACGCTTGAAAAAAAATTTTTAAATCAAAGGTATAAATTTATTGACAGAAGATAAAAAGGCAGTAATGTAGTCACAATAAAATTAAACTCAAAGTTACGGAAAGCACCTGAGATAAGCTACTCAGTATAATGCTTACTTGTAATGACCTGTAACTGAATCTTGTGGAACAGCTGATCCATGATCAAGGTCGCGTGGTGGTGGTCGCCGTGAGCGAGATCGACCTGTCCTAAAATTAATACATCCATAAGCATATCAAATTTATGGAACAATTATTTATCGCTGCACAGAAACCACTATCCATAGTACATCAGGTGCAACCAAATCGGAAGCACAAATATTATAACAACACTGCAGAACTGGTAGATATCTTCAGTGTTTTTGAATATGAACGAAACAAAGTACATAAGACCTAATGGAGCAGTATGCAACCTTAACTTACTGAATACTTTACAACTTCAAATATAAGCTGTCTTCTAATCCACACTTATCTCTGAATTTTAGGAGGTAGAGGGAATAAAAGGCAGGAGCAATTCTTATGCAAAGTCCCTTGACACATATAGATGAAACATGGACAAACACGCATAGTAGAAAGCTGCTTGTCCGAAACTTGCATTTCTCCATATTCGCATTTCCTACAAATGAGTAGTTGAAATGTACTTGTATCATTTCAAGGCAATGCCTGAATATAATAGAACTGGTTAATAGAACTTACAGGCTGCTTAAATCTCCTTGACAGATAAATAAATATATTTATATTTACATAAATTTAGTAGCAGGTTTACTAGAGGAAGTAGCCATCTTTTGCAGAAAAATATGAACAGTAATTAGATCAAGATGAAAAAAAACAATACTTCAATCAAAATCAAAACTCTCTTAGAGTCTGAAACCGAATTTACATAAGCCTAAATCAGAAAACAAATTGTCTTTAATGCACTAATCAACTGTGAATAAAGAGCACACCTTCAGCCATCCACTTCAGTGCACTATCAAAACTTCACTCTCCCATGTGGAATAGTACAATGCACAGTTGTTTACAACTAAATATGTTACAATAATGTACAGGAATGCTTTTTACACTTTTATGCGATCTGAAATAACTAGCCGACAAGCTGGATTTATTAAGGTAGAAAGCAACCCATACGGCCAGCAGCAATGATGAAGGATTTCTTGAACAACAGAAATAATAGATTCATATTTCGGTGCGCTTCAGCTCACCGCCTTCAACGAATTTTGAAGTTACTTAGGTAAAGTAATAGAAAACAAATCCGTCAAGATTAGTCAGGAATAAAACTAAAAACATGAAAAAAAAAAAAAAAACAGTACTTCTTGTGAAGCGAAAAATTAAGTAAAATGATGAATTCGACTAGTTGAAACATAAAAAAAACGATGTCACTTTTTGTAGACTAAAGAGCACACGTAATTTGATTCACGAATAATAATATAAGAATATAAATACATAAATCGATAAATGAATAAACAAATATAAATGAATAAACAAAAATAAATGAATAAATTAATTAATTTAGTTAAAGAAATAAATATAAACAAATGAATAAATTAAATAAATAATGAATAAATCAATAAAACAAAGTGAATTAATAAACAAACATAAAGAATATAAATACTAGACAGATAAATAGATAGTAAACAAATTAATTAAACATGTTAATTAACTATTAAATAAATAGATTAAGTAGACAAGTAAATAAAATTAATTAATTTGTATATATAATTAAATTTGTTGAAATAGGATGGTACGGCAAACTGAAAATGGAAATAATAGATACTGTGTGACTACCGAACTTAAGTTTAATTCAAAAAGTGTAGCAATGAAGACGATCGATAAGCAGAAGGTAATAAGCCAGAAGAGAGAAATTAAATAGAAGTTTGAGAGTAACAATTGCGCAAAAAGTTAAGCAGATGCTCACCTCACCGACTTGATCAACGTGTTCAGCAGCAAGCAGTCAGCCATCACAGCACAGCCGCACCAGCACCATTCACACAAACCACTCCACCACAAACATCCAAATGGAAACGGAAAGAGCGGAGGAGCGAAAAGGGTCTTGTCATTGTCGCCAACGTCATCACCATCGCCGCCTAACATCAACTGATTCTGCCCGTCTTCCTCATTGCCTATTTCACGGAGAACTAACTGTTCGAAAGTTTTGCTCTGTGGAAAGAGCCCAGCTTTACCTCAAGCAGTTAGAGAGAATTGGGGTGACCTTCATTATTTGATATAACAGATTCGCATGAAATTCACTTAAAGTTTTTCGGAAATGGAAATCGTTTCTTTGGTAAATTATACATTTACTTGGAAAATTAGTACTTATCGGTACTTACGACAGTCACCTCACAAGATTTGCTGCAAACGGAAAAAATCCGGAAGTACTCTTAAGACTTTCGAATTTTAAAGGTGTATTAAAAACCGTGCTTCAAAAGTTCTTCGAAGATATCCAATCTATATAGGACGCGTATAACATTTCTGCGTGTCTCTGACGTGAAGATACGTTCGTTTTCCAAACTAAATCTTCTGTATTGATTTCATTCCAAAGAAGACGAATTGTAAATTAAAATCACATAAGCTCAACTATTATGGATAAACTTAATAAAGCTGGCAAAAGAGAGAGACACAGAGTGAATGAAAGGTTAAATTCTTTAAACATTTACCGATGATATCGACGATTGAATAATATAGTTTGGGTATCATTTAACACATTATTACGTTTCAAGATATTACAAAAGTTTTTTAGCCAAATAGCACATACGTCACCGAATATAGCAGTAGCTACTAGATGGTAAGGACTTGTATCAGTTAAACCAAATTCAGTAGCTATAAGAAATTAGTTGATACAATCACCATACTTCTGATATTTCAGAATTGCTGTACCAGAATACAACTGCAGGACTGATTTGAACACTCAGTAACGCAGAATTTTTGTCGTGAATTTAAATGCTGTACAAAATAGCTGCGTTCATTACATTGTATAGAAACCATAAGTGGACAATAATTAAAAAATATTTTTCGGCTTGAACTGTGACTAGCAAGTCTTGTAATCGCATTCTTTCGTTAATACCACTTGAATTCTATCTAAGCATCCCACAAAAAGCACATAAAATCGAAACTTTTTTTTTATTAGTAACCCTTGACGAGCTGAAATGAATATCCAGGAAAGACGAACTTTTGGATGATGGTCATATCGACAAATTGCTCACTCAATTCCGCATCTTTATCTGGAAATTTGTCAGGAAAATATTGATAACCAGAGGATGTTGTAAGTCCAGATAATGTCATAGCGGTTGGTGAAACGAAACCATTTGGATTGTCCCTTGATTTGACATCATTATCACAGAAGCAATCAGTAGAATTGTCTGGTAAATTATTATTTAACAAACCGTCTCGCAGTGCAACATTGGTCATTGTACAACCATCTCTTAAAAAGAATTCGTGCGTTTCTAAATTTTACTAGATACTATGTTTCGAAATTTATTTGTTATTTGGAAAAGGGAATTGAGAATAACTCTCGACTTGTCGATAACGCACTTTCTTTTATCATTTAACGATTTTTCCTTTGTTGCTTTGACACAGTTGTAAGTTAACTCACTGCTCAAAAATTGTTTCCAAGCTTCTGAAATACTAAATAGATTGTAAAACAATCGAAAAGAATGTCAAATTAGGGATATTCTTCAAGTGCTAAAAAACTGAATTTGATAAAACTCAATTCACAATTTTTGACTGAAATCCATCGAGAACAAATAATCATACGAAGTGCTGAATTTTTTGGGTTATTATAACAATACTTAGACCTCAAAATATCTGTTTTGCTGAAAGGAACCTCTCACTGAATTTGTTGATGAGCTAGAGCCCAATATCTGTGATTTTGTAGCCCTGTCCTTCGAACTTTCTTTTATGCATCCATAATGAATCTCATCTGGAATAAATTTTAGCGGGGATACCTCAACAGCTGGCGAGTTTTCAATGCAGGATGACTCACATTCTGCCAAAGGTGCCTGTAAGAAAAGATCATGCCCTGAGCTATGTACAGTAGAACTATTTAGATTTAGATACAGCCATGAAGTTTCTATCAACTGCAAGGGAAGTCAAGAAGTTCAATTCACTGACTCTATTTCTCTTTTAATTAAAAAAAAATCAGATATGGGAAGTACCTGGCTCATCTCGGTACCTGATCTACTTGCAGGCAGTTTTCGTGATGTTGTATAGAGGGGTATAAAAGATTTTTGTCGACTGGTACTTCCTGCTTTCATCTGCTCATGATCATTTCTGTTATGTTGAGATTTTCCACTGGATGTTCGGTCTTGCCCTAAAAGAAGGAAGGGAATCCATCATGTATGAGAATACAATCTACTTAAAATATTTTCTAGTTAAGCAAAAAATTGTAGACTAAATTCTGTGATCTAAGAATCTAAGAGGTGGAGGATGGAGATGAAAGCAAGCTTTATCTTCTGTGGGTACAAAAACTTGAATAATAAAAAAGTTGAAGAAATCAGCAGTGAATAAAAATGCATAACTTCATTGATGAAAGGGAACTGCAATTAACTGCAGCTTGTTTATGAATTGTATTAGTTGAAGTATTCCGAATTACCTGTATCACTTTTCACAAAAATATTCATTGTCGGCTTGATTTTCGCTTCTTTGATATTTTCTTCATTCTTGGAAGTGCGAGCTTCAGCCGTCATTGTAAATGTTAGAATGGTTGAATTGAATTGACGAGACCTATCAGATGGTGAAACATTCCGCACAGTTCTTGGTTCCAAATGTATCTTGAAAGCTTTCACACCTGAGTTCGTTTCCGCATCATTTCCCGATCTGGATGGCAAATTCTTAATTTTGGAACATTTCTCCTGATTCAATAAAACATTTTGTCTATAAGTTTCCAAACGTGATGACTGATTATTTAAAGATGTTCGTGATCTCGGAATTCTTGGGATTCTCAGTGCATTGCTTCCTGGAGCTTGTTTAGAAGGAACAAATTTGATTGAATCGTTAGAATCATGATTGGTTCGCGTTTCCATACTTGCTGATTTCTTGCATTGCGCATTAGGTGGTACATAACTCAGTTTAGCGACTGGACCTCGACGCATGCTGCAATAAAAATTTTGCTAAAAGGAAAATATTTTTTCCAATTTCAAAACATTTAAAACAAGCTAGTTTCGAAATAATTTAACATATCTACTTCCTCACTTATAGAGGAATTTCCCAACTCTTACGTCTACAAAAACAGTTAGAAAAGACAAATAGATGATAAAAAATAGAAACTGATGAGTTCTATCTGACAGCGTCGAACTTATATGAGAAAATTGACTTTGTCAATTTTTTGAAATAACACGGTTAAATTCTAGAAATCTAAAATGGTGATTTTTCTCCATGCAATTAAATGAAGTTAGTGAGTAACAGTTCAAATATACAAAAAATTTCACAAAATATTTTCAAAAATTATGACACCAAAGTCTCGCAATTACAAAATAATTTTGTACTTTTAACATAAACATACAAGCGGTATGACGAGAAAAATCGACGATAAGCAACCGTGATTAACATTTAGTACCAACAGTTGGTATATGACCATTCTTCATCTCACTATTGAAACAAAATATCACTATGATATAACATTATAATATAAAAACAGCAAACTAATGAGAACTACAAGTTTAAGAAATTTTCAAACCCTTTCGAAACGTTTCTTTACTGTCTGAAGGATGCATTGAAGATTACACGGTCCTTTAAAAATTTATTGGAAGATCACTGGAACTTGTCAATGTTCACCTAGATAAACTGCTACTGGTACGGATATTTTGATTTCCATCTGACCGACTAAAACGATTTCCAAGTTTTGTAAGCTTTGACCGCACTGAGTGGGCAACAGTCATCAACGGGCTTCGTGGCACATCTTCTGACTGTTTGGTATGGTTGGAAATGATTACCGCAGTTTTTGCTACCAAATTATGCGCCATTCTATTTTCGGTAACTGCTGATCTATTACACCTGATTTTTTCTGGAGATATCTGTAGTTCCTAGAAAATTTTGTAAATTCATACAGGAACACTTTCTTCTTTCTAAAAATTCGAAAATTTATATAATCTAATGAAAATTTGCAATAAATCTGAATTTTTTTCTTCCATTTTTGTTCCAGAACAAAATAGTCTCGTAAGACTAAAATTTTTGACTGCGATCGACAGAAAAATCCCGAAAACTCTCTAAATCTGTGAACATGACAAATCCATGAGAAATTCATGGAAACAATATTTCTTGTAACAATATAACACGTCTCCTATATTTTCGAATATTTCGTTCTGAAAATTTCTGAAATGGTTTTAACAAAAAATCTTTCAACTTAGAAGTTAAATTGAAACCAAGTAGTGATAAAAGGAGAAGACTGAATATAACTATTTTACCTTAGCGGTAAATAATGGAACAAGCTCTCTTATGAATTTGTCGCATGAAGGTTCTCGAATAGCTCGGGAAGTTGAAGGCTCCAGTTCATCATGAGCTTCAACACGTTTTTCCGAGATATGAGTTATAATGGAATCACTGGACTTCGATTCGGGTATTGGTGGTATGGTACGATTCAGTGGTGGTCGCATTTTAGTATGCTCTTTTTCGGCATTATTCTCCATTACTGGTCGTGAAGGAGAAACAACAACGAGTGTATGCGTTCGTGGATAAGGATATGATTGTGAGGACGAACGATAGATCCTGAAAAATTGTTGTTCCCGGTTTGATCAAACAAACAAGATACAAAGTGGAATATGAAAATGTCCGAAGAAAACAGCCGTTACAACCGTGTCAAGGTAAATTGCCTGGTTGATTTGCTGATTAGACTACGGTCATTTGAGCATTTCATTTCATGTTTCGGTCGCAGTTTGGGCAATTCTTCGAAACTAAAAAAGCACTGCTTAACGTTACTGTGCTTAATTACACGAAATATTCATATCTGTGGAAGAAATTTGGAAACAAACGATTAAGACGAGATCAAAATTGCTAAAGTGAAAATGAAAGCCGATCAATAATGAAAAAATAAATTAAGCTCTTTACCAAACCTACTGAAATATTTTAAGGAATTTCAAAATTCCGACAATATAATTAAAAAAGAAATAAAAAATGTCATGTAACCTATAAGCACATAATGTCGATTTACTTTACAAAAACTATCAAGTACCTTTATATCGATAGCTAATACTTTCTAAAATAAGATTTCCATAGCTTGTCGGATTTTCATTCCAGAATTTCTACAAACACAACTGTCCATGTTTGGTATACAGTTGCCCTTCTTGTGAATCTCTCGACGAGCTTTAATATTTCCCATATTTTCAAACTTTTTATGAACTCAACTGAATATCCTGCGTAACAACAATTTTCTTTGATCGAGATGACTAAGTTGAGCAACATTTCCATACTGAGAAGTTAAGATTTAGTATATATCCAAATAATAACACATATCAAAGAATTTCGAAAAACATCCAACGGTAACTGGGATGGACAGAATAACATTACGAAAGTTAGAAAAAAATCAATCAATCAATCAATGAGGAATAAATACTGAATATCTCACTGACTTTGTAGGATTTCCTAGCGATACGGTTTCAAAGGTGTGGTCTGAAATATTTTTTATATCATAAAGAGAAGTGTGGTTTTCACACACTTTTTAAAGTTTAGCCCGATGTACAATTAGAAGCTAATTCAGTAACTGATAGAACAGTCTGTTAGTATCATCTAAAACTTGAATGAATATGAACAAGTATAATGCATAGTCAAAAATCAAGATTTTGTTGAAAAATATCAAGAATGTCGCATGATTGGAAATGAGGTGAAGAAAATTGTAGCGGTATTTTTCCAAGTTTTTAACTGTGCTGATGAACGAAACATTCTTATTAGAGCGGGATATTTTAGAGCTAAAATAAATTTTCGATCATATTAGTGGAAAATGTCTCCAAATTAATTCATAGTTGAAAACTTCATTCCTGCAAAATAGAATCCTTTCCACGTAGTATTTCCATTTAATCCAAACACATTCTTCCGTATATTTCTAGAAAAATGTGTGTTAACCAAGAGCCATGTCTGTCCAGTCATTTCAAGCTAGCTTTATATGAATTTCATTTAGATTACATAATAGTTCAGAATAATTTATTCTAGGCCAACCAACAAGCTTTATTATTTTCTAGAATATTTGAAACTTTCCAGTTGTCTTGCAAACTGGTCAGCCATTAACACTTGTAATAAACAATTACCTTGTGAGATTTTTTTTTCCTTTTTATGCAACAAGTGATGTAGCGCAAATAGAATTTTCTGTCTTAAAACAGTATCTTTCCAAACGCTCCACCAATATAACTTTTTATAAGACTTCAAATCTTATCTTTCTCCTCCTTTATGCCGATAATGAAGGGAAAAATATTCTCCATTTTTTGTAACGCAGAAACATAAAATTTCAAAGGAATAAGAAAAACCAAAGCAATAAGGAACAAAACTGTGAAAAAGAAGGCTGAGATAAGAAGCAAACGACTAAAAGTGAGATTAGTGAAAAATTTTTTAATGCTGCACATGCTTGATTGATTAATAGGGTATCACTACAACGGCACTTCAGTGCCACAATCGGACCTATCGCTAAACTACTTTTTACTAATCTAAAAGGTGTATCAAATAATGCAAATAAATCATTGTTTTCAGTAACCTTCAGCTGTAGGTTAATTACTCGCTCTGCATTTAAATCAGTCTCGTAAAACTTTACTTGGTCATCATACTCAATTACAGTTATCGTGATAAGATAGTGGCAGTGCAACAACCACTGCTGTTAGTTTTAAAGATGACAGTGAAATAACAAAAATAGATCTATCAGAAAGAAGTTTCCTGGTCTGCAAACATATGTCAGTAATAAAGGAGTTGTACGCCATGAGTCGAGTCATCTTCGTATTACTTATAATGAAGCGAAGTTGAGCAGGAGAATTCCACACTATCAGCATCATTGTCTACATTCTGTCCAGTGATATATGTTATCTATCACTATTGTTGTCTACATTCCATCCAATGATATGTTTTGGTGATTAATTGAAAATAAGGAGAACGTCCCAAACAAGCAGTGCATTCTCTCTTTGTTGGCATCTTTATATAAGTTATCTACACCTGCTTCCTTGTTTATTGAGGTATCACGAAATGGCTAGACAGTGAAGTAGAAATGGATGAATTCAGAAACAGATTATTACTGAATCACAGCTGAAAGTAGAACTACCAAGCAATAAGTGAATGAAGAAAAAGTTCATGACATCAAGAGAGCAATAAATATGTCGCTTACTTGTTCATCGAAAATCCTATTGAAGAACGTTGCAGTTGCAGATGACGGATGCTTGCCCGCTTCTTTAGCAAATGATGAATGTGGCGATGTTGTCGACGTGGCCAGGCTGTTGCTGCTGTCGATTTTTGAGCAGTCGCGACTGTTGACTACCCATAAACGACCGCAGCCGTGTCCGTGTAGTCTCTCCCCTTTCCGTTGTCAATGCCGCAATTAGAAATATCTAATCCTATCAAGCTATTGCAGAACTTTGGCCAAATCTAGTGCAGTTTATAGGATGAAAGGAAAAGGAAAGAAAGGAAAGACGCGACATTACTTGTCAACACTTTTAATTATTCACTCTGTGACGAGAATCACCACTACTCTCGGCTATATCAATGATGTAACCACTCAGTGCCCCTTCGTCTTACATTTCCCGTTTTAATTTCTTAATTCCAATATGTACAAGCACTTCAACTATGCATGTAACTCACTTCTCTTCCAATTTAAAAAAACAAAGAAACCGCTGTGCTGTTATACGCCACTTTATGACGACATTACTTATTTTCAAGTAAAAATCGATTGTTTTCAGATACTTTTACTGGGTATAAATTAGCTTCTATACATTGACAGCCGAAATCCATAGGTTTTGAATAGATTTACTTCAAAAAAAAAAAAAAAAAAAACTGCTTCGGTTAGTTAGCCTATTGAAAAGTTTTTTTTTTCAAATTTTTCATAATTACTAAGCTTAACAATAAATTTGGAGAAATTTATTTCAGTTAAAAATATCAAAGTTCTGGTTCGAGCATATGGTCACTGTCGGTTCTGACTGAATGAATTTGCATGAAAAATGGACTGGGAAAGTTACACTTGTGACTTTGAACAGCCTTAGCAAGAAAAATGTTGCGACAAACAAAACGAGGTTGATAAATGTTCGAGCAAACCTTCTTGAAACTTTTCGAAAAAAGAAAAACGAAACAAAGGGGTAAAAGTATATTAGTAAACCGAATATATATTAAATCATAATAAATGAATAATATATTAAGTAGTAAAGGGCTTATTACATAAATTCATGATAGAGCGCTGTATTCATATTACAACCACGTGCCAAGTGATGTTGAAAGATTCACTAATCTATGTTAGCATCTGGATTCACATCCTCATATATTAGTTATCTTGCTTAGTTGCTTGCACAGTGATTGGTATTAGTAATCGTATGCCAATAAGTTTCACCGTCCAACCATTTCATTATGTCACTTATTTGGAAAAGAATAAAAGCTATCACATAAGATTCATTTATTCAACTAACTCATGTTTATTTAGAGAATGTTATCGGGGAAAAACAAGAATAAACTATCCAAAGTGTACATTAACTTCAACCAATCAACGAGTATCTTCAGCTGTCATCAAGTCAAAGTAAACGATAGTTTTCTAATTGTATTAGCGCATCTTGGAGCACTTTATTTCTCCAAAAATAATTCAAACAATGATACAGCTGGAAGCAGACCGTTATACTAGTAGCACTATCATAATGAAAATTGTCACTTACATATATGAATTTCATTTTCGCTAAAAACTGGCAAATGCCATTTGGAAAAGTTAATGTCTTAATGTTGATATCTAAAGTAATGGATGCTGCATCATAAAAGTTTCCCCTTATAACTCTTACGTTTTTCATCCTATTCGGTTCTTTTCTTTTTTTGGTAAGCAAAAAAAATCATTTTGCATTAATTTCAAACAATATTTTCAATTTAGTATAAAAACGCAACACAACACATACACAAACAAGATACAAAGCAAAAAAGATGCATAAAATTTACATAGTAATCCGCTAAGCATTCCCTTTTTGATTTTGGGAAAACCTTTTGGGAAATTTTTGATAAAACCCGTTTGTTGCTTCTGCAGCAGTCCAGTTTTTGGTTAATCGAGTGTCTTTATAGCATGAAAATTTATGTTATCGTCATAGATTTACTTGAGTATTAAGAATCATCTGGCTTACTGTAACCAATTAGAAGTAATAAAACCTATTTTTATCAGTTTTTTTTCATCAATTTTTAACTGCTGGATTCAAATAACTCACTACAGTTGTTTATCAAGTATTGTTTTATCCAGTTATCTAAATTCCATAGCTAAAAATAATTACTTCTAAGTTATAAATTTTTTAACCGGTGATTTTACAACTACTGTTGACAACATTTTCAGGAGAACTATAACTTGTATAAAATGTTTCTGTAAGTCTCATTCAGTTTTTTGGTTTCTTGTACTGATGGACTAGAACGAAGTTGAGGGAAAATTGCATCATGCTGTATTGGGTAATTTAACAACAGATATGTTCTAAAGAAAACTCCCATTTTCCACTTTCATTTTCTGTGACTTAGTTTTGTTTTTCTTTCTATGTATGGTTAAAGTTGGACTCCCAGTACAGGAGTTATCCTGAAAATATGAAGCTAATAAGAATAATATGATTTGTCATTTCTAGGAAAAAACAATTTCATATCACTTTTCTTAAATACATTGAAAAAAATTATCAGTTGTTATTCAGCCAATTAGCGGCAATGTAGAATAATCTGTTTTAGCGATGAATTTATTTCGGCTAAGAATTCTTTAAGTGTTTTTAAAATTTAACCAGAATCAAATTTTTTCATGAATCAAAGTTTGAATTGTATTCTTCAAATATTCTGTAGGAAGAAAGTAAGCGAAAACAAATTGATAAAAAGTCAGTGAAATCTCATTTTTCAAACAAAGCATTCAAAAAACAGTTCCGATATATTACGCTCCCAAAAACAAATCTCTCCTTACACTAAATAAAAATATTACTTAAGTTTTTATCTTCTACAAAAAAACTTAATTAGAGTTAATGAGAAATGTTGAGCATGGGATGCGATTTCATCTGGTTCTAAACATTCCAACAAAATCTACATACAAAGTATTTCTTCAAACACAATTTTTGTTCCTGAGAATCTTATTTCCGTACATTATATATATATATATACGCACACATAAAGATACGTATAAAATACATTACATAAATATATATATATACACATGCAGGGAAGTGAAAAAAGATGAGATCATTTATTTGTTTCATCTTGGAATGGTACTTTATAGGAATACTTCAGGTGATAAGGAGTGTCTTTCATCTGCGACTCTTATTGTGTTCACTTCGACAAATTCGCCTTTTCAGGAGATTTTCCTGTTTATTCTAAAGATTGTGGATCAAAATCTGTCTCTGCATGTAACTTCTCAAAATTCTTCCGTTCCACTAGCTAAAAATCGAACATAGCCTCTAACCAAGCCTTACAACAAACACTACTGTGCCACCTCAATTTCCAAGTATTATCAAAGTTTTGTATATGAGACATTCGTTTTCCTATCGCCACAGATAATGTACTATGTTACTCTGATGAGTTTGGTTTCATAGCGTTTCATAACGTGGCACGTGGACGTGGGGAGGATGGAGGTGTTCCGGTTGGGATGTTAGAGAAGTTAGTCGTCGCGGTGATACGTAATCCCTTGATCACGATGGAGGGGATTTACTCTTATACGATCAGATGAGGTAAACTAGATCACTTAATAATAGTTGCAGTAAGCTTGTATTAGGTATGCAATAAAGGTGACATCAGTAATTTTACGCTTTTTTTTTTCTATTTAATTTATTCCACTTTAGGTTCAAATGCCGGCGATTTACAACTTCAAAAAGATTACAGTCGTTCCATCCGCTGCAGTGAGTTAATTGTTATTGAAGGTTGATAGTTATTCAAATGCTATAATATTGGTTTATTTTAAATATGATGTGGAAAAGAAAAAAGTTCTGTATAGTTTTTGATTACACTCAAGATTTTAGCAGGAGTAAAATCCTATGAGGCGCAGATTTGTTTTTCAGGATTTAAAGGAGATTGTTCTTTCCAAAACACAAAGAAAAACACCGACCGTGATTCGCCGTCACTTTGCAATTAGCCGGATCCGATCATTTTATACACGGAAGATTAAATTTTTGCAGCAGGTTTTACACGATAAATTGACTCAAATTATTGATGAATTTCCAAAAATGGAGGTGATTTTTACTTATCGCTTCTTTGGCTTCTTGTTTTTTTATCCTGGTCATAGCTATAAATCTCTATGCTAAATTACATTAGTATGAATTGAAGCGAATTACAAAAATGCCGATTTCCGAATTTTTACAGAACAGTGTGGGATATTTTCAGGAGGTTCATCCATTTTATGCCGATCTTATGAACATTTTATACGATAAGGACCACTACAAGATTGCTTTAGGACAAATGAACATGGCTCGTCATTTGATCGATGGGTAATTTTTAACAATTCTTATTATTATTGCGTTGAAGTTCCAGTTGAGCTCATCTATGATGACTGAAATATGAATTATAGATGAAAAATGTTTCAGTATTGCACGAGAATATGTTCGTCTAATGAAATATGGTGACTCGTTATATCGTTGTAAAATGTTAAAGCGTGCAGCACTTGGACGAATGGTAAAGCTATTAAAAAGGCAGAAATCAAGTTTTGATTATTTGGAACAGGTGCGACAACATCTTTCTCGTTTGCCAACAATTGATCCAAACACAAGGTACGAGGAAGTTAGTTTTTTTGGCGATAATCTGTAATAATTAAAAAAAAGATGTTATCGACGATGGAGTGCAAAAAAAAGTTTACATTGTAAATCTTGGATTTTAGGACATTAATATTGTGTGGTTTCCCAAATGTCGGTAAATCGTCATTGATGAATTTGTTAACACGTGCTGACGTTGAAGTACAGCCTTATGCATTTACCACTAAAGCTCTTTATGTCGGACATCTTGATTATAAATATCTTCGTTGGCAGGCAAGTGCTAATACTGATCGTTTTTCCGAAAGATTTGTCTCTAATTATTTATTTTTGAACGAGTTTCAAATTTCAAAGATAGAAGTTTGTAAGACTAGAAAAAATCGTTTTGTTTTGAAAGAAAATGTGTTACAGTTGTAATCTGAGATATATTTGGACTTTCATAACTGAGTAATTTTAGGTTATTGATACACCTGGTATTTTGGACCAATCTTTGGAAGAACGTAATACAATTGAGATGCAAGCAATCACTGCACTTGCACATTTGCGTGCTGCAATTTTGTTCATCATGGATATAAGTGAAACATGTGATCATACAATTGAAGAACAGGTATAAATCTAATTCGATATAATATTTATGCAACGTTTGTTAGAAATGTTAACTAAAAATATAGGCTTTTCAGGTAGCATTATTTGAAAGTATTCGTCCATTATTTGTGAATAAACCAGTATTGATTGGATTAAATAAGGTGGATATTGTAAGGCGAGATGAACTAAAGCAGAAGAAAATGGAACAGCTGAAAAGATTAGAGGACGATTCTATATCTATGTTTGAACTTAGCACAGTAACACAAAGGGAGTCATGGATTTCAGAAATACAGTATTTTCTTTTTTTTTTTTTTTTTTTTTTTGTTTCTTTGTTACATTTCTATTGTATTGAAGTATTTTACAGCATAAAGATTGTGCAACGCTAAAGTAGAGTCGAAAACTATTTAAGGAAATTTTATCAAGTGAAAGAAACATTAATGCTAGTTGGTTGAATGAATTCTAATAGCGCGAATAAATCTATCGAAATATAACAATTGTGAAGTACTTATTGACCTTAAACAAGCGTATGATAAAAACTAATGTTAGTCGAAAAATTGATATTGGTGCAGAAAAAAGTTTGTTTTTAGTTTAGATCGTATGCATCACTTTGCTTATGTTTAAGTAGTTATTTAAAATTCTCTTCTTCAGAAACATAGCACAAATTTTTTAATATTATTTAAAACGTAAGAAAAGTTGCCATGTGATTTCTGTTTGGAAAAGAAAATGATGTTTTACCGTTTAGGCATGCAATCATCTTTTGACGCAACGTGTTGAAAGTAAACTGCAGTCGAGGAAGTTAGCAATTGAAGATGGTGTGTTAAGCCGTGTTTTTGTTGCTTACCCTATTCCGAGGGATGACAAAGTATGTCCATTTTTTGTAGAATTTTTGTAATTTGTTATTTTTACTGTCACCGGTCACTGTTGGATTTCAGGTACGTGCACCACATATACCGGAAGCAGTTGTGACGAAAAAATTTTTTGGCAGTAATAATCCTAATGAGGAGAAATTTAGAAAAATACGAAAATTAGAACGCCAGATTGAACTGGAAATGCAGGACGAATACATACTTGATTTAAAAAGTAAATTTTCATTCAATTAATGCATCCTCCTTTTTTTCTTATCTATTTTGATATTCGTCAGAGTTTGCATATTGATAAATTTACGTAGGTTACAAGGCGATGATGTTAGCTCAGAATAAATGACAAAAAGTTGTTTTATATATAATTGAATGCAACTATATTTCTACTTCTTGTAGAGCATTATTTACTAAAGAATGATGAAGAAAAATACGATGTTGTGCCCGAAATATGGGAAGGACATATTGATAAATTTACGTAGGTTACAAGGCGATGATGTTAGCTCAGAATAAATGACAAAAAGTTGTTTTATATATAATTGAATGCAACTATATTTCTACTTCTTGTAGAGCATTATTTACTAAAGAATGATGAAGAAAAATACGATGTTGCGCCCGAAATATGGGAAGGACATAATATCTCCGATTTTATTGCATCAAATGTTAGAGATATGTTAAAGTCAATCAGGAAAGAGGAAGAAGCAAAGATTCAAGCTGGGTATGAGATTTTTTTTCATTTTATTAAGGAATTCATATTTATTTTTGCTCTTACACAACTTTTATCAACATTAGAGGCATTTTGGTATAGTTATAAAAAATTATGTTTTAGGTACTATGATGATGGTTTGGTCTTGGATGATGATGAAACAAAGAAATTGTTTGAAAATGCCGAAAAAATTATGGAGAAAGAAAGTCGGCTGAAAATGGTATAATGAAAAGTTTTTAATTTTGTTTTTTACATTAGTTCAACTATTGCTGTAATCTTAACTCGTTAAGTGATTTATTTAAATCTTAGAATTGCAGATTTCACAAGCCAAAAAAAGTATTACGAAGCCACGTTTAAGTCGTTCTGTTGCAAGAAAACGGGATAGAACTATGGCATGTTTAGAAGAACAATTTCGTGGACTTGGTGCTAACATTGATCCATCGCAGTTGAAAAATTTGGCTAAGGAACAGCTGAAAGAACCTACTATCAAAAAAATACGGGTGGGAAAGAGTCCAGGCTTGGTTGCTAGTCGACCACCAAGTCGTGATGTCCAGGGTATAAAGAATGATGAAGTTAGCGATTTTTCTTTTTTTGAATTTGTATGCATTTAATAATGGTGAGCTAAAGATCAGCATTACTGCAAAAGATGCTCAAATATGTAACCTCATCTCTTTAAGATAAGGCTAACATATATATGTTCGTGAACTTGGTGCTAACATTGATGTTGGTAGGGTGAAGTTAGTGAAGAATTCTGCTTAAATTAGTTAACGAAATTTAATTTAGATACGAGAGATAACGAAGAAAGTTGGACGAAAGAATCAGAGGAATTTACAATACGAAGCAAGGAAAGGTGAAGCTGACAGGCATATCTTTGTCAAGCGTCCGAAGCATTTGTTTTCTGGCAAGCGTGGACTTGGGAAAACAGATAGGCGGTAAATTTGAAGTACTGCTGAATTTGTTACTGTAGCGTTAATATGCAGGAATTATCAAAAAACCCTGTTCGGCTGAATTTGAACTGATTTTGTTATCTGTTATACTGTTTGTTTTATCGCTATGCTTAATGATGTTAAGCCTGTGTTTTGCTGCATTTCTGGTACAGTAGTTAATTGTTTGAAAGTAAAATTTGTTAATATGTTGTATTTCCTCTACATTCATTTTGTACAAGTAACACATCGAAATACTTTATTTTACATCTTAATTTTGATAACTTTAGTGGTAGCTTATCAATATATCATTATGGACCAATCGTTTGTTAATCTTCTTAGGACTGATTTAATTCTCGACGTTAATAAGTTTTTGAGGTCATCTAATTGCGGATTTTACCCATTTTTCCAAAATTCATCCAGTTATTTGAGGATTTCAGTCTTGCTTGCTGTTTTAAACATGTTAAAATATTCGCTGTTTGCAAAGAATAACACTTGGACTGGTTTTCTTTTTTTTGTTTGAGAGAGAGAGACAGAGTTTGATGATACATGAGGAGAAATTGGTGGGCAGAAATAATATGATTCCATCCAAACAGGGAGATGTCGATTACAGTGAAGAAGTGGAAACTTTGGTGACAATATTTGTTAGTTTTATTTTGTGTTATAATTATAGTGTGATGAATGGATGGAGTATAATATTGTATTGATTAGGTGGGAGTTCGGTAATTAACCATCCAGGAATGAATTAAGTTGTAGCTAAGATCGCAACAGCCAACTGTTGTTGGATTTAAGTGACCTTAAGTTTAGTCTTTCCAAATATTTCTCAACAGTTTGTTGTTTTGGCAGAGAAAACAGCATCGTCCATGGCGAAATAAGGTTCGGAAGAAAGCTGCTAAGGAAGCGAAAAGAAAACTGAAGAAAGAAAATGGTAAAATTATATGTATATATAATTTATATAAGGTATCGTCAAAGAGCCATTAAATGCAGAGCGTACATTTATTTGTTCTTTTAGGTAATGAGTGCACCATCTCTTCAAGTGATGTGCAAATAATGAGAAAAAAGAGGAGAAGTAGAGTTAAGAGGATCAACTCTAACGGTTCAACTGAAAATGGCGCAATGAATAGACAAGATAAAATAAATGATAGAGAAGGGATTGGTTCCTCACTGTTTCGATATATCAACGAGCAGTTATATACTATGAGTGGTGCGAAAGCTATGGAACTATTTCGAAAGGATCCACAGGCTTTTAAATTGTACCACAAAGGATATCAGAAACAGGTTTGCTAATGAGAATCATATGAAATTAATGCACAAATACTTGTGTCAATATATAATGTAAAGATTTTGTTGTTTAATAATTTATCCACCTCGATGAAGAGGATGCTAATTGTTTGAATACAAAGTACGATGTAGTTAATTTAATAGCTGATATGCTGTGGAGGTATTCCCGCAGTGATATAGTAAATCTATTGTATTTGCAAAAAATTAAACTTTAGGCAATTATGCATGTTTAGAAAATGAGAATGGTATCTGAGGTTATTAAAGAGATCATTTATAGGCAAACAAATGGCCTTTTAATCCAGTTCGCATCATTATTCAATGGATAAAATCATTGAAACATAATGGCTTAGTGATTGCTGATTTGGGATGTGGAAATGCAACAATTGCTGATGCACTGTCACATATAGCCACTGTACATTCATTCGATTTGGTTGCTGTGAATGATCGCGTTATGGCGTGTGACATGTCCATGGTATGTTTGATCATGAGAATATTGGTTTTATTGGTATAAATAGTATAATAGGGCTAGAGACGTTTTCATTAATCTTCTATTATTGGACATCTGTAAATTCATTACCAATTTATCGCTAACGTATAGCAATATTACGCTTCACTTATTTTGCATTGAGCTGTTAGAAAAGAAGGCAATAATAATAAGTACACTATCCTCAACAAGTACAAACTTTAAAAGTTGAAATTGTTGCTTTAATTTAAAAGTTATCCCAGTGAGCATGATAAGACTTATGATGAAAAAAATATAACCTTAGATCATCAGAGTGATTCGAAGCACATAACAAGTTAATATCAGGAGCAGCTTTGAAAGTAGTTTCAATTATGTGAACATACTCTAGACTCATCTAACTGTATTCCTAATTCAACCTTTTTTCTAGCTGAAGTTTGTTTCCATTGATAAATAGTTTTGTGTAGGTCCCACTGTGTAATGAATCGGTGGATATTGTTATTTTTTGTCTTTCATTGATGGGGACTAATCTGAACGAATATTTGATAGAAGCGAATCGGATATTGAAAAAAGGGTTTGTTATCACTTCATATATTTTTAAATAATAACGTGAAAGTTTAATGCAGATTTGTTCTTCAAATTAATCATTTTTTTTTTTTAAAGAATCTGACTAATGTCTCTTTTCAGTGGTTTTTTGAAAATAGCCGAAATTGCGAGTCGATTTATAAGCTTAAAACGGTTCATTCACGCCGTAGCAAAAATGGGATTTGCTATTACTGGAAAGGTTCGTTGTTATTATATAGCGCCTGGATGATGAAAAGGAGTTTAATAGCAGTAAAACATTTTAAATAGTACACTTGTTATTTATTGAAAGATTTCTAGATGATGAAAGATGGTGGTTATTTTGTAATTTTGGAATTTATGAAAACTGGTAAAGTGGTGCAGAAACGACCTATTGGATTAATATTGAAGCCTTGTTTGTATAAAAAGCGGTAATCCTTAAATTCTATGATGTTTGCCAGTGTGCTGTGTTTAATTATGATCAAAATTCGCTGCACTACAAGATACCTTGTTAGTAAATTTATAGTGATTTTGGAATACCGTCGAATTGTTTAATACTGATGTGTTGTTAGTCTATTTTTATTGCTTTATATTCGTTACCTCTTTCCATAGTATAACGGATTTTTCTAGAATTTATCCATTATCTCTGTGATTTATTACGAATATTCTTTGTGTTGTAAATGAAAATTACTGCGAAAGATACTTTGCTGGGATACTGTCACGAAATAATATCGGATTGGAGTAATTTGTAGAGCCGAATAGGAGGTATTTTGCAAAAAGAATATGGTTGAGATTAATATTTATTTTATTAAGAGGGAGATTATCGCTGATCCAAGTTATTTAATAAATATATGCGAACTTACTGTTTCAGCTTCTGAGCCGAGACTTTAGGTCTTCTCAAATAGATAGATAGATGGATAGAGTAGATAGATGGATAGATAGATAGATAGATGGATTAGATAGATTAGATAGATAGATTAGATAGATAGATGGATTAGATAAATTAGATAGATAGATTAGATAGATAGATAGATAGATAGATAGATAGATAGATAGATAGATAGATAGATAGATAGATAGATAGATAGATAGATAGATTAGATAGATAGATTAGATAGATAGATTAGATAGATAGATTAGATAGATAGATTAGATAGATAGATTAGATAGATAGATTAGATAGATAGATTAGATAGATAGATTAGATAGATAGATTAGATAGATAGATAGATAGATAGATAGATAGATAGATAGATAGATAGATAGATAGATAGATAGATAGATAGATAGATAGATAGATAGATAGATTAGATAGATTAGATAGATTAGATAGATTAGATAGATTAGATAGATTAGATAGATTAGATAGATTAGATAGATTAGATAGATTAGATAGATTAGATAGATTAGATAGATTAGATAGATTAGATAGATTAGATAGATTAGATAGATTAGATAGATTAGATAGATTAGATAGATTAGATAGATTAGATAGATTAGATAGATTAGATAGATTAGATAGATTAGATAGATTAGATAGATTAGATAGATTAGATAGATTAGATAGATTAGATAGATTAGATAGATTAGATAGATTAGATAGATTAGATAGATTAGATAGATTAGATAGATTAGATAGATTAGATAGATTAGATAGATTAGATAGATTAGATAGATTAGATAGATTAGATAGAATAGATAGATTAGATAGATTAGATAGATTAGATAGATTAGATAGATTAGATAGATTAGATAGATTAGATAGATTAGATAGATTAGATAGATTAGATAGATTAGATAGATTAGATAGATTAGATAGATTAGATAGATTAGATAGATTAGATAGATTAGATTATAGATTAGATAGATTAGATAGATTTAGATAGATTAGATAGATTAGATAGATTAGATAGATTAGATAGATTAGATAGATTAGATAGATTAGATAGATTAGATAGATTAGATAGATTAGATAGATTAGATAGATTAGATAGATTAGATAGATTAGATAGATTAGTGATTAGTAGATTAGATAGATTAGATAGATTAGATAGATTAGATAGATTAGATAGATTAGATAGATTAGATAGATTAGATAGATTAGATAGATTAGATAGATTAGATAGATTAGATAGATTAGATAGATTAGATAGATTAGATAGATTAGATAGATTAGATAGATTAGATAGATTAGATAGATTAGATAGATTAGATAGATTAGATAGATTAGATAGATTAGATAGATTAGATAGATTAGATAGATTAGATAGATTAGATAGATTAGATAGATTAGATAGATTAGATAGATTAGATAGATTAGATAGATTAGATAGATTAGATAGATTAGGTAGATTAGATAGATTAGATAGATTAGATAGATTAGATAGATTAGATAGATTAGATAGATTAGATAGATTAGATAGATAGATAGATAGATAGATAGATAGATAGATAGATAGATAGATAGATAGATAGATAGATAGATAGATAGATAGATAGATAGATAGATAGATAGATAGATAGATTAGATAGAAAAAGATGAGAAAGAAAAATGTGTTAAGGAAGATTTGATTAGCATAACAATTGAAATACGATTGATTATCAGATCAGAGACATTGCATGTGGTTTGGTTTGAACATTAAAGGTAAGCATGGTTGTGATAAAAAAGATGAGAATTTAGTTAAAAGATTCGTGATAAACAAAAAAAAAGATAAAAAATTCATCATGTTGACCATGGTAACATTTAATTACTCGTATTTTGTGTGGTGAATCATTTGGGTGAAATTTTCCAACACAAGTTTTTTTGGTTATTTAGCCATATTTGTTATAATTTATTTTGAGTTTCACGACAAATACCACTCCGTAGATTATATTAGTTGATAATTCATCAACAAGAAATTTTTGTGTGAAATGAATACAACAGTTTCAGCACTGAAACTGTAAGACGACCACGCAGGTACATATCCTTCTGTCACATGCTTCGCTTAAAAGGATTGTAATATCTATATTCTTCGCACGTTCATGCCATGTAGATGTATGACTTGTTTGTAGTTTTTTTGGAATTTCTTCTAAGTATTGGTTTTTTAAAGTGGTTATGGTTTGTTGCTCTAGTAAAAAGTAACTGGGGTGCATTCATCAACGCATTTCATATAGAGAAGAGAGAGAGAGAAGGAGAGAAGGAAATATAGTTGATCATTAATTTTATAGATTTTTAGCAACTAATTTCTCGAAATGTGTTTATGTTTATTTCAATTATAAAAGCACAATATTCATTTTCTAACGCGAAAAATCTGCTGGTATTAACAATCATGGCCGTGATCTTTACAAAGTCTGTTGGAGGTGGAACTATTTGTGAGAAATTTATCGTTAAAAGACCATATGATTCGACGAATCAAGATATGAGGATAACAAGAAAGAGAAATTAAAAATGGTTTAAGACATGTGATGGACATGTTTCGCGAAATTTAATATAAATAAGATTGAGACAAATTCCATGAAGTAATCAAATATAAGAACTGCTAAATTGAGATCATTATTTGATATTGTTGAGCACGAACAGGTTAGATACTGTTCAGTAAGCCTATCGCTCGTTCAAATTGTTGATATTTCGTATGCTCAAGTTACTGATTTGAACTGTTTCAGTAATCAAGTTAATGCCTTTCAAATTGAACTAGTGCACAATATTGAAAGCTCTGGAAATTGATTCATGGTTCGTTTACCATCCAAAAGTTCTAAAAGTGAAAGTGTTAAGACTAACAGTTATTTCACTAAGAATATTGAATTTATAACAGTAACGTTTTATCCATTTTTCTGTTTCTCATACTGTTATTCACAGTTGAATTCACACTGACCATTAGAGAACCATCTACTTGCATAAACTGACCTGCTAACTTTCTAAATTGTTTTGAAGACATTTAATTTTACAAACAAATTTCATTGCTTAACTGGTTAAAAAGATTTGTGTTATATCCTCCCTTATTGCTATTACTAGGATATAGTTAATAGTAATTGATTGATTGATAGTAATATTAAAACATACTACATTGAAGCACCACTTCAAGAAGTCCAGTGTTTATTATGGGAAATTATTTTAACAGTTTATGCCAATATCACTTTTTTTTTTTCAAGTGAAATTACAGAGCAGCTGTTTGCAGAGTAGTTGAATGTAGATAATTATTAGTTGGAATGAAGAAACTATTTATGCAATTTGTTTGGAACTTATTTTTCAAATTAAGGATAAGTGCTGAGGAAGGGGGGCGGGGAAATTCAGAAATGGGAATTTCGAAAAAATATGCTAAGTATGAAAGACAGTGATTGTTGTAGGCAACTAGGCATTCTTGTTGGTAGGTTAACGAAATTGATTTATGTCACTTCAATGGATCAATTCTGTTTACATCAAAGACTGCTTGAGGGATAATGGAAAATAATACAAAGGTTTGAAATGCAGTAAGTTCTACTCACTCAAGCAAAGGCGCATTTAAGTTTGTAATGTAATCCATTTTTCCTTTTTCTTCCTCTTCGCTTCTCACTTTCCAATTCCTTTATTCAGAATTCCTAGAAAATGAGCACTACTGATTGGCTATGTAAATACACTTCAGTACCGTAACATCTATTCGTATCGTCTCTGAACCCATTAGAATTCCTTTCTGTCTTTCTCTCTCTCACATACTCTTTCCTCATGTGGACAAGAGGACTAGAAAGTCATTTCAAGGTAAAAATTAGCCGCGTGAGAATCTTTTAAACACATAAGACGCATCTCCCAACACTCGCATCAATTGAATTCAATGATTTGAATCATCGAATCCCCCATTAATGGCCATGCATCATCAAACAACAGTTAACAAAATCCAAAACGGTTCGATAACCTCACTGCTAGCATACTCCTCATCCGGAATTTCGCTCATCCAAAAAATCCGAGTTGAATGTAGTGAATCTAGATAATAATTCAATATCAGCACCTGATTTCCGAATGTCAACGTTCGAATACCCTTGGAGTTTATCTATGACAAACAGTACAACTTTATCATCATTATCAGCAACTCCAAACGTGTCGTCTTCCGTGTTCCCTGCACGGAACTTTTTGTTGAAACAGCTAACCTCGATGAATGATATGCAGTATTTGGATTTCAATGAACGGTTACCATCTACCACATCTGTACCACAGTTTGCATTTCATGCACATTTAAGTAAGTGTTTATCATTCGCATATTAACTTTATGAATTATAGATTGATATACTTAACTTTCAATCTAAAATTTCGGAAAGAAAAAAAATTAGGAATGATCGATTGTTATGTTACAGTCTAAAATGAGCAATTTAGAACAATTTCCTGATTCGGACTCGAACAGTATTAGTAATGAAGGAGTTGTAAATAATGATAATAACAGTTTATTTATTGCAAGCATTAATTGCTTGATTAATCCGGTGAATAATGGTTCAGTTTATTTGGATTAGAATTCTAGATATGCATAGTGACTCGCGATTCGATTTAACCGCTAGCCGTCCCGGCAGTAATGGTAATCTCAAATGTTCTGTACAGCTCCGGTCGCAGCAGACGCGACGGAAACCCCGCGTTTTGTTTACCCAGTCTCAGGTGGCTTTGATAAATTTGTTGCATTTTACAGATATTTTTTTGTTCTTTGTTTAACCCTATATTTTACACACTGTACACAATTCTGCTGAATCCATCTCAAATTTGGTTAACGGAATTTATAGTTTCAAACTTTTTTAGATTCCCATAAGATCAAAAAGTATACTTTTAGGTACGACTTCTTTCTTCCTTACATTCTTCTAATTAACAAGTGCACATAGGAACTGTGTGCCAAATTAAAGAACTCGGGAACTGCAGACCTAACATGTCGTACATACATAATGCATATTCTCGACAGAAAGTACTTTCTGATTTAGCAATTGTTATGCTACAAGAAATAGAACAGATCAAAACTCCTTCTCCAATCCCAAATGATAGGAGACGGATAACTGAATTCTAGGTGAATGAACTGGAAGAGCGTTTCAAATTGCAGCGGTACGTGAATGCAGCAGAACGGGAGAGATTAGCAGTGACGCTGGGTCTTACTTCCACCCAAGTCAAAATTTGGTTCCAAAATCGTCGCTACAAATGTAAACGGATAGAACTGGACCGATCATTACAACTTTCATCTCAACTGATTCTAAGTCAAAGTTCGCCTGCTTTTATAAGTTCAGTACAATCAACTGTACTTTGATGAATTCGTTATAATGTTTTTTTTTCTCAAATTTTATTCCCCATTCTCAGTCATTTTTTCCTGATAACGCCATCTGCAAGACTTTTCTAATGTAGAAATCATTTATAGATTATTTCCATTGTGTTCCGATAAAATTTGTGCAAAATAAAAGTTTTTCGTGGAGAAGAAAAGAGGATGGAACAGAAGAAAGAAAATTAGGGATTTACAGCAATACATAAGAGAGGTCATAACTGAATTAAGATTTTTCTGAGAATGACTTTTGCAACTTATTTAGTTATTGAATTTGTTGACATATCTATTATTGCAAATGGCACTGTTGTGGGCATTTTTATAAAGAAACTTAACCAGGCAGATATTCTGTTCAATACTTTTAGAAACCTTTTAGATGACTAGAAATTTTTGAAATGGCAATGGCATGCATTTTAAAACACTTCCTACGCTATTAAGGCAATCTGAACCCATTCAACTTCAGTAATTATGTGAAGGATAACTGAGAAGATGCAAAGATAAATACGAAACTTAATGACCCAAGCCGAAATTAGGAGAAATTCGATCTAAAGACTTTTCCTACAATAAAATGCAGAGCATGCTTAGAACAGTTACCTTGCAAAATTGGCCATCAATTCGTACTTGTACCCTGAGTTTTGAATTTCGATAAGATGCCTAATTCCAGAAGCATAAAGAAGCAATAACAAGAATAATAAATATAAAATCACTCAACCCCAGATGGACTGAACTAAGCATTTTCAGGGATTAGTTGGAACGTGTATTGCAAAACAGGCACTCAACCATAGGGTGTGATACAAGGTAGTTTTGGACGTGGTTTGGGTTGGATGTTCTGGGTAAGGGAGGGGGAGAAGCAGGAACTGCCGAATTATATGTCTTTAAGGGGGTGAGGGGGCTGCTAGTTTCTGTATGTCCTTATTCAGTCACACACTGGAATAAAGAAAGGAATAGTGCTGCTAAAGAGATACCAGGAATAATAAGAAAGTTGGGAGCGAGATAGCATTAATTAGTAAAGGAATGTTGAGAAATTAGTGGTAGTACAGTGAATGGGAGGGCCTTGTGGTTGCGAGGTAGTCTTTTTATTACTTTCATTTCATGTTGGTAAGAAGATTGATAGAGTGGTCCAGAGGCAGGAGGAAGAAAAGGCTCTGTGAATTAAAAAGCTCAAGTAAAATAGTGGCTGTTACCTCCCGACTAACCCCTATCTCGCAATGAAAAAACGTTCCCATGTTTTTCGAAAGTGTACTCTTTTCCTCGCTTACTTGTTTTCTAAGCTCTAAATAGTATTTTCCAGATATGGGAACAAGGTATGCTGGTGGACGTGATGGGCGTAACCAACGCGGTACAGCGTATAACGCTAACGGTAGGCAGTCCAGGCCTGTTCAACGCCTATCGTTCCGACGTGAAAATAGCAGTGATCCAGATGCCAATCTATCTTCTTTTTACAGGTTAAAAATGGTTTTGAATGTTAAGGGGTGGACAGAAAACAGGTGTGCTAAACTTCGTTTTTCTACTATGAAGTGATGATCACTTCCCTATACATAACTCCAATCGATTTCCTCATCCATCATATTAGATTTGATTTCCAATTACGGGAATACATTGTAACCAATAGGACTAATATGCAGTCACTTTATCTTGGACGTTCGTCCCAAACTCATGATAAATTAATCTAAGCACTAGAATCCTTTTATATGTACTAAGTACTTTTAAATGTACTTTTTTCACAATATCTCGACAACATTTAGTTTTATTTCAGTCCTTGACAAATGTTTTCAATATAAAATTAATGTTGCAAGTCAGTTATATTACATACATTTTGCTTTTCTCCTTGATTTAGAGATCGCTTTGGTAGTCACTCTCCGGAAGAATATATGAATCTTCGCTTTTCGCATTTTGACAACAAGATTACGAAGGACGAAATTAAAGATATTCTGGAGCGTGAATTCCGTCGATATGCTCCATTTGAGGTGATCGTCTTTCAGATATTATATTTGTGTTTGTTTCTTTAACTTTAGCAAATTCAACTGAATGAGGCCTTTATTATTTGGTATTTGTATATGCGCTTGTATAGGTCGAACACAGCTGCCGTTTTTTTTTTCGTTTTCTTTCCTTGAAATGCAAATTAATTTTCAGATAAAAATAGTGCGCAACCCTGGCGATGAGCAACGTCTTGCTTACGTAAATTTTGAACGCCCAGAGGCGGCGCGAACAATTCGGCATACGATGTTACCAAGGTTGCAGAAATTACTTGGAAAGCGACTTCATCTCGATCCCGCAGGCATTATCAGAGATCAAGAAGGAAAGTATATTCCCGATCGATATAATCGAGCACTGCAAGCTGAACGGGAGCGTGAACGAAAGGATCCCCTAAGAAGGTAATTCCACTTCACAGAGGCATGAGTTGTTTAAAAAACTATTTGGGCCACATAATGATACGATCCATCTCACAAATGGAAAAGTATTCAGAATACTAACGATACCCTATGCTTCAGAAGGCTTGCTCTTTGCATACAAAGAGTACAAAAGATAAAACTTAAAATCCTTTTCTCTCTACCATAAGCTGTTTTATTTTCGCTATTGCTTTTGCTGGATTAAGCCCTTTAGGGCAGGTTTTTGTGCAACTCATTATTGTATGACAACGATATAACTTAAATGGGTCATTTAAGGCATCAAGTCTTTCATCTGTTTTATTATCACGACTATCAGCAATCCATCTGTAAGCTTGTAATAGTATTGCTGGTCCTAAAAATTTATCATTATTCCACCAACAGTTTCACAGAGGCGTTGTTTGCAAAAAGTGAACTAATGTGTAAAGAAATGTTGCTTTAGAAAATCTCCCAACAGACGTCGTGAGGAGGGAGGAACATGGAATTTGAAAGAAGATGACAATGATGCAACAAGAACACTTTTTGTGGGAAATATGCCAGCTGATATACGGGAGTCAGAAATTCGTCGTGTTTTTGAAAAGTATGGAAAAGTTGAAGATGTTGATATCAAAACACCTCCAGAAACTAATGCTGCATATGCTTTCGTACTTTTCCAGGTGGATTTTCGCGAGAAACATAATCTTCATAGTATTATATTTCTCTCAATGATGAGACAGTTGTATTAATTATGCTGTCATCACTTTTGTGTTTTCATAGACTTTGGAACAGTCCATGAATGCAAAAGCCAATGAACATGACCGTCCAATACGGCCAGGAACAACTCGTTGTAAAATCGGATATGGGAAATCACAGCCATCAAATCGTTTATGGATTGGTGGACTAGGACCGTGGACATCTGCAGAATATTTGGCTAAGGCAGTTTTTTCGATTTTCAGTGTATTATTCTAGGTGATTTTCTAATTAGGTTTATTTTTTGCTTCGAAGTATAACGGGATGTATATCGGATGCTCAAACCACGCTTTGGTATTGTAATATATTTTTCTTTGGATATTCGAATTTCACAAGGGATTGCAAACTTTAACTATGAAATAGTTTCAAAAGAAATTGTGGACTGTTTCTAGTTTACAGGAATTTGATCGATATGGGCTTATTGATCGGCTGGACTATGAAGAAGGCGCTGACTTCGCGTATATACGGTTTACTGATCAGAATGCAGCAATGGATGCTTGTCGTGCCATGAAAGGTTTTCCACTGGGTGGTAGAGATAGATGCATCATCGTTGACTTTGCCAAGTTCATTATTTCCTATGTTCCTTTGTTCCAATCCTTAGATAATTATAAAGTTTTATAATTATGCAAAAATATTTGTATATAGAGTCTCTTCTTCTTAGAGATGACCAAAAAGAAGATCGTAAAAGACGACGAAGCATGTCTGCCGGGTCGAGAAAGCGCAACAAGGGTCCACGTACGCCACCTGAAAGTCCAAGTACACCATCTGATGGTGAAATCGACACTATTGATGAGCTAGAACGAAGAATTGCGCCAACGTGGCAAGGTTTCATTATCCTGAAAAAAACTGAGTACGCGATTCGTTTGCATCGTATCTCTGGAACAGAACATTTGCTTCAGAAATTACTTCGTGATCCGACAGATGGTAGTGCACTGAGACTGCACATTACTCAACGGTTGCCACTGATTAGTCAGGAGGCACTTGAGGAGCGGTTAATTCATTCATCAAAGAAACAACTTAGCTTAATGGTTGCTGTAGCGTGTGATAAACCTATTCGGCCACTGGTTAATTATCTTTCCGAGAAAGATGCTGCCGGTGTTGTAACTGTACCCAGCGGTGTATTATATGTTTTTGCTGCTAGTAATATGGCTGATCGATTAATTCAGGCTTGCGCACGCAACATAACTTTATTGACACCTGAATGTGGTCATCTGTTATTTGCATTGGCCCTAAAGGCCTCCCCTGATACTCCTAATGGGGGGTAATTCACCAGCTGTATTCTGTGCTGCTTTCTCGACACCTATAACTGTTTAGCTGTGAAACTTTTCCTTGGTTTATTGCGTACAACGCTGTAATTATTTCAGCTTTCTCTTCATTTCTACATTTCTATTTTGGTAAGTTCTTATGTTGAGTGTTTTCATTTCTTAAGGAAAGTTAATTACTTTTTTCTGTGGAGTTATTAATTTAATAATGACCTCATAGATATACACTGAGTAAGCAAATTTGGTTGTTCAAATAGTTCCATAAGTAATGATCCTTTAAAAGTAACTTTTCTGTATGATTCATTTAACCTATTATTGCATTTATGTGTTGGATATTTTAAATAGAGTTTTCTTAAGATTATTCTTTTTCAGTTTTGATCCACGGTTTTCATGATAGTGCTATTTTAGAAATAGCATTTTTGTTTCAAGATTTAATGCGAGAAATGGAGAGGATTATTAGTAAAGATAACTATTAATTAGCTATGTAGTCATCCTGATGATTGTTTGATAGCATGTATTAATTTTTTTTGCAGCAAGTTTCCCTATCCAATTCCAAGTTAAAGTTTCAAAAATGAATTGCTATGAATATTGCTACGTTGTCTTTACCGATACCTATTCGTTTACTCATTCATTCGTAAATTCATGTGATTGTTAATAATTCTTGCACAATTAGTACTATTCATACTGTTATATTTTTTAACAGAATTTCGGTTCTAAATGACCGTAATGTCTTTTAGCAAGAATATTTTGAAATTCTTTACTTTCGAAAAAAAAAAGATTGGGAATGCCTACTGATTTTCATATTTCATTATCCGGTCTATGTACGGATTTACCCTGTTGCTAATAATTTGCTTGACCAACAACAAATCTGTGTGGCGGCAAGGTGAATTTCTGTCTGCTTACGGACATCGTTAATTATGAAGTTTGCTTTTATTGTTATGCTGACTAAAATTCAATTCAAATGAGATTTTGGAACATCTTATATTTCGAAAATCTATTAACATATTTGTATTTCCACGTACATTTTTTCATGGTCTTTCTGAATGACATTTCACTACCATACTTGTTTGATTTGAATTCTGCTGTTATTTTGAGCAAACACTTTGTTACTATAAACATGCTGATATTCTGGAACAGCGCGTTTTTTTAGTTTTGCCGTTCACATAAGGAAGGGTGCGGATCAGGTTTGTTTGCGTTGATCATTAGCTAACTTATTCTCAAATAATTTTTTCATTCCACCATTTTTTTTTCGCTTGATTCTTTCTGTCGTTTCTGAGACCGCCACTGCACTTGATTTGAGTGCTTTCACATGATTCCGTGCCGAGGCCAGATTTTTCGGTAGATTTCAGTTGCTAATTTCAGTGTTTACAGAGTGCGGAATTTCGACTGGCTAACAATATTATCCGAAATGATATACGAGCTAATTTTCATCACAGACTTGTCTGTTATTAAGGTTTTTAGAAGTGATCCCGGTTTGGGAGTTCATCAAAGGTAAGTTACTCCTGTTACAGTGTTACCGTTGCTGGGCATCTTTCGACATCCTTGTGCGACTTATTGTCGCATGTCTTATTGGTATTTGTATTTTACACATTTAATATCATACAATTTTGTTCTATGCGAACAGAGAAATTTTTGCTGTCCAAATTGAAATATCCAAATTTCTCTTAAGCTAAAAACAAATCGTAATACTTCAGTGCACTTTAGTATGAAATGAAATATTTGCGGATCTTTGTCCCGACATGCACTGTTTTTTTTTCTCGGGAAAATTTGAGAAAAATTAAAACCTGACGCTATTAAAGCTAATATATGTTGAAACTCCAGCGGAGTTTGTGTTTAATAGGATAATATATAAAAGTATATACAGATGTGACGAATTGAATGCATTATTAAATCTGCATGTGGTCAGTTTTCTGACTATATCTCAGCTGTGCTAAACTAGTCGTAATACATCAATTCGATTTTGTGATGCTGTTATAGATGAGATGGGAAGTTGGTCTGTGATATAAGGAGTAAATTTAGAAGTCATATGAAAATTCCTCATATGTTGGTGACTAAAGCGAATTTTGATAAAAGACCTCTAAGCTGCTTATATCTGGCTGTTGAAATTATCTTTTTAACAACGTCAAAGGTGGTCCTTCCAAAGAATGACTAATAGTAATTTTATCTCTTCAAAAGGCCTGTTGCCGATGAAGATCTCGACACTACCACTACTGGTCATTTTTTTAAAAGAATTTTCGTTGTTAGCGAACTATGGTTGTAAACAGTTTAGTTTTAGACACCTAATTACACAACACATTGTACCTAATTTTTATAAAATTACCTAAGAACTGGTAACTGTTCAATAATTCATAAAGCACAACATGAACACGCAGTATTAAAAAATTTCCAGCTACAAAATGAAAATGTAGCAAAAATCACGAAGAGCCGCTAAAATTAGAGAGTTAGGTTATTGAGAATGCTACTGGAGAATGTTTCCGTTGCGATTTCTCGTTGATTTCCTCACTGGTACATCTATAGAGCAGTCCTGTTAATGAAATACGCAGGTTGATTTGGTCGATGACGTGGTGGTATGATGGTGCCAGATTGTGATAACCTTGATAAAAATCATCGGAATTGCGCAGAAGAACATTCATGAGCGGGGTAGATATTTATCTCCCTTTGAATGAGGACTTCTAATTTTTGAAGAGAAATGAAACCAACGTATGTTGGTGTGTGGATGTCGGATGCCGTTAATCTACCACTAATGAGAGCTGAAGCGGTACTTTGAGTACTGACTATAATGACGTTAGAACAATGTACATGATATGGTGATAACAAGAGTTGGTAATAACATTTCTCTCGTAAAGTGCAGGTTACAACGTAAATTTAAGCATGATTCGCAGATGGCTGGACATTGAATGGGTATTAACATTTGCTATTTTGAACTTACAGTTTTTTTTGTTTTCCGCAGCTTAGAAACAGACGAGCTAAACATTTCAGAAGTTCAACCGGTAGTTTAAGTTCCTGCCAGTTTTTCACATTTTTTGATTTCATCAACAATAACAAGTCTTACTGAGAAATATTGTTTCAATCAAATTTGAAACACATATGTTGGTAATCATTCGGCTAATCCTCATATCGGGAATTGTAGAAAGTCACAAATACAAAATTCAACCACATATATACTTGATATAGTTTGCCACGAATGCCTTGCTATAGTTTCTGGATGTATTGATGTTTCTGGAAATGTGGATTTGTAAATAGCTGATTCTGATTCCTCAATATCATTATCAGGACATTTTGAAGCAACTAGTTTTTCAACTTATTGTCTCTTATCAAAATATTTTGATAACGATGGTCGTGATTATTTGGTGTTTAAAACAAAAATCTAAGCCTTAACAAATTTGTGCAAGTGGTGGGAACTAAATCTGGGTCCAGGAGAAGTTTAACCATAATAGCTTCCGTTAATTACTAGTCCATACCACTTTCGTGTCATTCCAGCCCTTTATAAGACAATATTATATTATTCAAATTCTAATTTCGAGCTGTTATTTAGAAATGTTAACTTCAAGGTTAACTGATATTGAGGTAAGTGAGAAATTATTAAAACCATTCTTCCATGTTCTCGAACCGTTTGCTTCCCTTCATCTTGAATATAAACAACCATTTCAAACGCATGGTTTTGGTTAGTTTCATTTCCGACAGAACTTCATAAAAAGTTTTAGCAACAATAAGCTGTACCACATCAGCAGGATTGTACCAGTCCTGGACACCTTTAATGCTAAATATACGTGATAACTTCGGATTTGTTGTATTATCATATTGCAAAGCGATATAATCTCGTAATCCCTATGATCTATCATCTTAATAACTGCACATAATATTGAACAATTCGCCATCGCTCTATCAATATAGAAATTCCGAAAGGCAGGGATACCTTTTCTAGCTGAATACTATACCGATTAATTCAAATAGCATATCACAGCGTTCAACGAACCAGTGATATATTCGTTGATGATATTGGTATTTAACTAATTCTAGTAAAGCATATCACTTAAATTAAAATGTAATGCAAACCTACCAAATAGGATCACTTACTTTAACATTAACCTTAACTTGCCTAATTTGGGAATGTTCAGCTGATTTCTGACCATGTTTTCTTGTATTTTGTGCTCTTGCAGCTTGCGAGTTCAGTTTCTTTTCTTTTTTTCAATTTCTTCATTATCACCTTGAATTTATCACAGTTGATACGATTCAAATCTCTCTAGGATTCAGTTCTTCATCACTTTATTATTATCATTTGGTATCTTAAAAATTACTGAAATCTAAGTTTTCTTTGAAATATTTTAGCAACTCAAATGAAAGATTAAAAAACATCAGTATTAATTAATATATAATAAAGTGATGAAAAGAGATATGAATGAATTATTCTGCTAAATAGATAAATCAAACAGTAGTAATTATTCTAACAATTATCATTATTCATATAAATTAACCAGGCAAAATGTAAAGATAAGTTCAATCAGTAGATTGAATCATTCAGTTTGCTAATACTGAATGTTATGCATAAGTAGTGCTGTGAATCAGAGAAACAATTTACAGTTCATCATAAATTAACTGCGTAGACATCAAGTAACTTTTGTGATCCTGAAAAAGGAATCAAAACATTTTGAATATAGCTTTGTAAAAAAGGAAACAAGAAGTTTTTATTTACCAGTTATTTACTGAGAAATTGTGAGCATGTAGCTGTAAAAGAGAATTGGGTGTATATTTTTGTCCTTATATCTTACTGAATATTTGAAAGTGAACACAGTTTTGTACAAATATAAACTTTTCTTCGACTAAAACTTGACAATAAAGCGTTTCCAATTTAAATCAGTTGACTACACATATTTGCACCAAATCAAACTTGAAGATCTAGCATCCAGAATTTGAAATCTAAAATTTGCAAAATTCCGATACCCTTGCCTGGAATCCATTATTATTATTATTCTCTTATCATATTTTTTTTTGTTCGAATAATGACTTTATCTTTTACTGTATTTTGGTTAATAAATATGTAACCTGTCATAACAAAATTGCCTTTTTTTTTTCTTGGTTATTATTTAAATTATTTGACATTTTATAAACCCTGTTTTTTTTTTCTTTTTTTTAACATGAAACTTTGGTGATACATTAAGGTTTCTTGTTTGTTTGACCAGTTTGACTGGAGACTTTTCGACAGCAGAAATGGCCCATCCATAAAAACAATTTTTTGTTTTTCGATCACTGACTGCATCAAGTGAAGAGAAAATTAATCATTCGGAAAGGATCAACTATCTTTTAATATAATGAAATGACCTTAATTTATTATTTAAACTCTATTTTTCTATTTCAAGTTAATATTCTTCCGCGTTTAATATATTTAGCATTGAAATTCAGTCTAGAGTCAAGCAGAAATAACCAATCCGATGTATTCTAAATTCTAAATATATAAATATCTTTAACTTCCTAGCATCTGTGCACCAACTGGAAGAACACTCTTTCGCTTCGAATTGTAGAGGAAGGGATTCTATTTTAACCTTTATTACTTAATAATTTTTAATGAGCATATCGGTTAAATTTTCGTTTCTTAAAAAATGAAACGAAGAGATCGGTTGACGCAGCAAACGGTACACAAGAGGTATTCAACTTTATTTTATGAATTTAATAACTCATATTAAGGATTTAAAAAAGCCCAATTTATAGAGTTGATCAGCCCTACTGCTTATGAGTGATACAAATTTAGACAATAACTGCAATTTAATGTTACTTCGTTGAAGAACACGATTAGAAGCAACTTATATAGAAGTAATTTCTGTTCATCATATTTTTCAATTAATTAAATTTATTCTTTACTTAAAAATTTTATTCTGCTTTGGTCAAATAAACAAACATTTTTCATATGTTTGATTTTTAGCCGGCAACTATTACCGGAAAAACAGAATTATAACGATGTTTCGAAATAAAACCTCTAATTTTTAAGATTAAAGATTGTATTAATTGAATATTCCTTAAAAAAATATGAAATTTAAAAATGTTGTCTCGTATAAACAACCATTCATCTAACCCTCATCTTCCAGTTATAGCTGAGCTTATTGCTAAAGTATTAACAATGAATATGTTCATGTGTTGAGAATTACTTCCCTATTCTAAATCAAATTCACTTGTAATGTCGAAATATTGTAAAGGTTGTATAATCTAACAGTCACTGTTATAAATAATTGAAATAATGTTAAGACTAACTCTTCCTATAAATCATGTGCTCGTTGTAATGCCTACTGCATAACGATTTTAACCCTTTGTCTCGGTTACTTTTTGATTGACAGCGAGCTACAATTCGGCTCCTCTGACTACTTCCCCTACTCTTAGACCCACAATCAACCACAACCAAATCTCTCCACTATAAATTGTCTGTGATATAATTTGATACTATATAATAATCCTTATGAAGTCAAGCTATAACACGCCAACTACAAAGTTTTCATTTAACGAAGAAAAATTTCAATAACCATGTCTGGATTCAAAAAAAAAAACAGAGTATTCAGAAGGCTTTCGATGCTGCAAAATGCATTAGCAGCCAGAATCTAGTATCAGCCTGGTCTTGTAGTTCATTCCTTCGACTTGGCCTTTTAGATGTTTGAAGATTCTAAAAGACCCCGTATTGCATGAACTAAACTTTTCAGAGCTAATTAAATTTTTTGTTGGACATTGTGATAGATTATACTCAATGAATTTTATATAGATCTACATAGTGTATTTCAATGAATTACCTTATATAGTTTGTGTCCAGAATAGTTTTAGATATGACTACTTCGGAATATGTCTAAAGGTATATATTACGATGTTAGTTTCAAACTATTAAACTATGAAGCTCAACTCATATTACACGATATTCTTATGGAATGCTTAAGATATTCAAAATTTTTATTCGACATATTTAGTCCTTCATATAAGGCTTGATTCTAGATGCCTACTTCAAAATGTACATGTTCTCTTCAGAGATCGTGTGAAAAATATTTAAAAAAATAAGAAAAAATACTGCATGCAATAGCGATTTTTGAGATGCAGTGGCAGATTTTCGCTTATCAAATAAATTAAATGTTAGATATGACTACTTGGGAATATGTCTAAAGGCATATATTACCTTCTGCATGGATCAGAAAATGTCAGAAAATTAATTACTTGTTCACAAATAAGAATTTGAATTAGCTTTCAGCACAAATTTAGATTTTACAGATTTTTCATGCTTGGGTCTGAGTAATGGCTTCCAATGTACCGAATATCTCACAGTATGCATTTCATGTAAATACTGAATACTCAAGATCATAAAAATTTTGATCAAGAGATTTGCCAACCATTATGAGTTTTTAGGAATTGGCAATTCACATATTTAAGAGAACTAAAGTTAAATCGATAGTTAAGGTTCTTTTTAGAATCAAGTGGCTAAATGTGAAACTAAATAGGAGGACATGAAAACGGCGGTACAAGATGAATTGAATTGTTTCAATGGTTTGTAGTGCATATGGTATCATTATTAGCTGATGTTTATCCTTCGGCATTTCAAATCTACGAATGTCGCCAATTTCGGGACTCAATGAGTATGTAAGTCATCGCAATTCCTTTACTGGTTGACCAGGCACTTAACTATACTTTACATTAGAAAAAAATTAAACTAGGATAAATTAGAAATTAAATTATTTTCAGTTTATTTATGTGAAAGAATGCCCGATGTGTTATAAAATTTGTGGAGCTAAAATTGTTGCATGTCTTGATGAACGAGCTGTGATAGTACAATGTCTTGGTTTTTTTTTTTTTTGTATATCTAGAATTTGCATAGAAGAGGTTCCAAATTTCCTTTTTACTCTATTTATAGATAGTTACCAGTCGATAACGTAGTAACATAATTATTAGTCGAATAAGTTGGTAACAGTTATCAGACGAAGTCAAAAATTCGAGGTAAATGTATTTCCAGAATGCGATGACATATCGCATTTTTTATCCAGAAATCAGCACTGTTAATGCAGCAAATGCAGCACATCTTCGAACCGAACATTTTATAGGAAAGACAAAGGGAACTTCTAGCTTCTGAAGCTGAATTGTAGAAATAACAAGCAAGATCATCTTTGAATTGATTAGTTAGCTTGAGACTTAAGCCTAAATTGGAATAACAATCATTTCAGAGACTATATGCTCCAATTAATTATTCATATGTTTTAGCAGAAAATATATAGCACTTTTTGTTGTTAAAAAAGAAATTTGATTTCAGTACCGCAGCATGTGCCTAAGGTAAATGTCACCTTTTTAAGAATGTCAGCCACTAATTTTTTTAAAATCACAGCAGAACAAAAAAATCAGACAGCTAAAACTTCTTATTTTAGTGGCAAATTTATTATGTCCTCAATACTAGGAATGATGCGCATCAATATTTGTCTAAGCGAGAAAAGCATTCGAGCAACTTAAATCACAGCGAAACAAGATTTGCTAATAACAAAATTCTTTGTTTTTGGAAATTTCAGATTTCTCATGCATTAACTTGTCGGATAGTACATATGGCGATATGCATCCTACGGAATTTTATACATCTATATAAGGTCCTAAAAGCCAAACTAAATCTAAAACAGATTTAATTTTCCTGTTAATTACCGATATTATTGGAAACAAAACCGAGAAATATGCCTAAAAAACATGAAGTATTTGATGCCAATCCTAGCGAAAACGAAAATTTTGTGAATGAAGCATTTTCTGATGACAGAAGAGCATTCTAGGGGACCTATGGGCACGTCAACATTGGACGCAGGTTTTCTCCTACTTCTTTAATTTGGTATCTTGGCTGAAAATTTATAGGTGCATTTTCAGCTTTTTCGTGATCGCCCTTACTTGATGGCATGTATGGCCAAAAATATTCAATATACTTCATTATATGTATAGTTGACAGTCTAATATATCAGTGGTGTTCCTAGTACTGTAAACGTATGATGAAATGACTGTAAAATGTTTAATAGTGGAAAATTTGTTTTGTTATTGTGAGTTGACATTCTGAAATTTTGGAAATTATAAGTGAAATTCTGGACATTTATTTTCTTTAAACTTACGCCCCATAACTAATGCTGGTTCAATTGCTTTTGATGAGATAGATAGGTACCGAAAAGTTTTTTATAGAGTTTGAATTTTTCAGGAAGTGGTTAAATGAACTTGAATGTTTAGAAAACGTCTCTGCATGGGAAAATCACAAGCTAGAATCTGAACTTGCTATTTTAGGCAACAAGGAGTCAGTTTTAGTTAAGGATCATCCACCAGTTAACACTAGCAATCTGAGGATATGACATAATTGAAACATCGCTCATAACAAGTATTAGCACTTTATTTCTTGATTAATTTCATTGTAACGATCGAAATTACTCTGACAAAATATGATGCCGATATTTCAAGGCCTAGTGGGAATATTTCATTGTACATAAGAATCAAGATGCGATCATAAATCAAGATGCTGCACAGGTCGTAATCCATGAAATGTTTCTTAGTATGTAGTATAAATGTAGGTTTCGGATCGATTGCCAGATGGAGCATATGAAAAAAGCTTTTCACTTGAATTCACATTATATGAGGCAGTTTTATACGACTGTCCTGTACCGTTTATATTTTACTAGGAAAAATATGTTACTATGGTTAAGCATGTGTGTCGTGGACATTTGCTGAATCACGTGTACGAACATCTGTTGAAAAAGTCTGCTTCAAGCTTTTTGATTTTAGTATAATTTTCCAGGACTTGGTGAGTTCATATATAGAAACAATTCTTAAGACGGTTATGGTTTTTGAGGTTATTACTGGAGCACCAAATTTGACGAGAGTGTACAATAATTTAGCAGGAAAATTCATGGATGAGGTCGCAAATTTCACAGGTCATCAGGCGCTAGTGAATCTTCAATTCGATCACAAATCACAGATGTCACGAATTTTGATCCTCTCGGTAAGTATATTAATTGCGCTGAAAATTCCTAGCAATTTGTCATGATTTTCAAAAAACAGTGAAGATCCTTACAGAGTTTTGTCTCAGGAGATCCGATGGCATTTATGTCAATAGCTGTTCAACAGAAAAATAGCACTGCTTCTTGACAACACTAATTCATTAAGATATGACGAAGTTTCAGAAACGTGTTTGGTTGAGGCATTTTAGAATTTCTCATATTTAGGAATACAACAGAAAGCTGAGCTTCGCAATTTACAGAATGAAGTAGCAACACACTGAAACCGGATCTGCTTCCACTACCAACACAGCGGAAGTACTTCTGTCGCCACAATGACGAAGCTATAACGTAGTGAACAAAGAGTATTGTTTTAAGTGATTTTAATTTACTTTGTAACCTTAACACCCATAAAATCCCTCTCAATTTTCTTCCTTAGAAAGCCATTCATCGTAGTTCCTTGTTTGGTATGGATCGGTTGCGAGGTGTCTAGTTTGCTTGTATCTTTAAATGGTTTATAATTAAGTTACATTTGTGTGTTAGGTATCAATTCATTATTGTAATGTTGTATAATTTTTAATGTTAATCTGTGGTTTAATTACCCAACTTTGAGGTTTGAATAATAAAGTATTTCATGAGGACTTCCACAGTACACGTACACAGAATGGAACCAGTACAGATTCGAGATTCTATTAGTATCGAGCACAAAGAAATCAACGATCTGAACCATCAAGAAAGGAAAACGACTTTGTTTGACAAGGAAACAGGGCAGTTTTGCTTTTACTACTTCTAATAAAGGAAACTGAAAGAGGTTTCATGTTTCATTAAGAAGCTAATGTAACAACGGATCAAAACCTTGTAGGATTTTTTTTTTTGTATTCATTCTTTGCATCGTTGTTCCGATGATATTGAATGGTCGAATGAAACTAAAAAGCTTCTGACAGCTATTGTTTAATTTTAATGTGATTTAATCATGTTGCATCGATTGTTTGGATGCTCTGATGCTGAAGATTGCTGAACGGAGTTGGTATCCTGCTTAGGAGGAATGGCAGCAGTTATGACTTCCCTGATGAATTGAAATTCGACGTAACGCTATCTTTTGCCAACAGCACCTCCAATTAAATTTAGAATGTCAAATCAAAATATGAAGAATTCCCAAAATTCCATTTTAATTGCAGTTTTAAGAAAAACCAAGGTCGGAAGTTTTCGTTACATGTCAAGAATATCTGGCGACTTTTTCGATTGTTTCAAGGAACACCGAATTTGAACATACAGTCTTATTCTGTCATTAACCAGGTAATAAGAATAAGAAACTTCCGCTCCGCTCGTCTTTTTTGTTTCTGGTTCCTTCATAACTAAATGAGTAACAATTCCATTCCAAAAATACCGATTTCAGATCTCTAAGTAATCCCTTTTACCAATTAAGGAGTAAACGGTTGTGCTTGCTGAAGTTATTGATGAATTTGATCAAAATTACCATTTGCCTCTTTCATGCATCCACTTCTCTTCTTTGTAATCATTAACTATGACAAAAAAATGAAGCTCATAGTTGTGTTCGAAAATAGCTAAATGAATTGGTAGTCACAATTGGTGACCTAAATGTCGACATCTCCACGGCATGCGATCTTGACAAAGAAGGAAAGTCCTGATTTCTAACTTATTCGAGCTTGGTAAACTACTTTTCTAGTTGTTTCAATCTTGACCAGAAACTTGATTTCTCGCAGGCAACGGATACTAGAAAAACCTGCGAGAATGAACCCAATGTTTCATCTCAAATATGTTATGAAATCAAAGTCGGTTGTTCTTCCTAGACGGAAGAGAAGTGCGGAGCAAGGGTGATGATAATCTGCTAGAAACATAACGGAGCGACAAGGTAACGCAGTGTCGAAGATAAATAAGAAGAGTCGTAAATGCTACGTGGAAACTGAGAAGTGCAGTAAAGGCTTTCTTACTACTGCAAATGTTATCTTGAGCAGCCTAGTCGTACCCCCTAAAATGACCACTTCGGTTTATGACCGATTTGCGAATGTGGTTGCATACTGATAGTGTGTGACGAATGGTTGTCTGCGGTGGAAACGAGCTCATTTTGTGTGTTTCGATACGCTGACACAGTTTAATTACCTTTTTTTAGCATTTATAGTCTTGGATTTAAAAGTTTTGATTTCATCAACTTTCAGCTATTTCTGTGCTGATGAACGATAGTTCTGTATGTCGATTTTCAGGTTGATTTTAATTCCTATCGTTGAATAAGTTGCCTTTTCCTTGAGTTTGAAGTGGTCTGGAGAGTCAGTGATGGCGACCTTTTGGACGTCGAGCGACTCTCATCCATACTTTATATAAAGATGTTTGGAAGCTTTTTTATGTTACGTACAATGTTAGTCGGCAATATCGAATTGATGGCAAGAACAAGAAAGGATTAAATATTTAACGATTTTACAGATATTGATTTGCCTAGATAATTAAATGTTTGGAAGAAGTTATGGTACCGAGAAAGCGATTCTGCCCTAAAATAACAGAAAAGGATGTGGAGACGATAATGAAGTAATTTTTTTCTTTCTTTTTTTTTTTTACATTGTATGATAATTTCTCTACAGCTCTGCATTTCTTGAACTGCGGTTTTTTAGATTGTGTCGTAGCACTGTACAAACGTTTAAATCTATCGGTGATGTCTTTCTCTTTGTAAGTTTTAATTTATGCATACCATTTCTTTTTGGCTTTCATATTTTCCTTTTCTTCCTTTCTTTTTTTTTTTTTTTTTTTGACAAACCTGTAACGTTTTAGTCTGATTAAATGTTTCTTCTTGATAGTGATTTTCCGTAGAATCTGCTGTTAGCAAGAATTTCCAGAACTTCAATGGAAAGCACAGTAGTTTTTCTATTGGTTATGCTTTATTGTTGGCGTTTAGAGAATCTGACGGTATTGAAAATTTGAGAAATCGAGTGGTCCTTATTTATTTGTTGTACAGGTTTCTTCTTATCTCGTGATTTTTAATATTGGTAGTGAGTACTATTAATAGTATCGATGTCGGCATTTATTAGTATTTATTAATATTTTATTAGTATTTGGTATAATATTGGAAAGGACACCTAATATTGGATAATTCTGTTACTTAGTTGGCACTTCAGTTATGTTGTTATTTCTGATGTTCATTCTGTCTTCTCTTATTATTTCCAGATCTGCTGAACTGGATGGCGTAGCAACAAAGGGCGATATTCTTCAACATCCTTTTCTCTCTTTTTTCCTATCTATTATGGTAATCTGGACAATTTCTCGTGCTTGACGCATAGTTAAAAAACTGAGACATTTTAATTTACCATAGTTTGTACCTTTTTACATTTTTCAGGAATATGACAAACATTCGAAGGATAATTCTGTAGAAGTCGAAATGATGGGCTGTCCAAAACTTGGAGCTCGTGAGAAATACATTACTGGTTGTTTATTAACAGAAATGTTGGACAAAATTACCAATCGTACTCCAGTCGACATTACTATGATGAAAATTCCAGAGCAGGTTGTATTTTTACTGAAATAAATTATTATTGCTTTTTTTAAAACTTTTATTTGCTTGTTTTAAGGATTTTGATGTAACGCAGCATATAACGGCGCTTAAAAATCGACAAGCAAAGTATCCTTCGGTTGCTTCTGTGACTGCTCCAGCTGTTATCAGAATATTAAGCGAAAGAATGAAAAATCAGTATGGCTTGCGTTTACTTTTAAATGATATTTGCAGTATTATTATTATATAGCGAAGTATAGTAATTTCAGTAAAATATGTTTATTAGTCTTCAAAAATAGATTTAATTAAGGGACTACCTTTTTAGAGATAAGTTAATTGGCGTCGAATCACTGGCATCTGTGTTGCTTCCCAATTTGTTAACAAATTCTTATTTATTTGATATTCTTCCTCCTTCATTTCATCGCGTCACACCTACATTAATGCCTCCTTCAGATGACGAGGTAGGACTAAGTTTGCATATCTTTTATTTCCAGTTTTAGCATCAGTGTGGAAATTTTTAATCCTGTAGCAAGATATCGTAATATATGTTCTTGTTTTACGCCGATATTTTTCAGTTTCAGTTTCTGTATCCTTTCATTTTGGATCCGATGTGGGTGGAAACGAGCGTTGAGAAACAGAATGTACGAGCGTTATCTATCGTCTCTCGAGTTTGTAACCCAATGATTACTGTTCATGAAAACCGGATAATAAGTGAGAAACCAGAAAATGTTGAGTTGAAAACATCTCCTGTTATAATTAAGGAAATACATTCTGATTCTGTGGATGCCTCTCATAAGGTTTGCTCTAAGTAATCTGTTTTTAAATGTATTTGAATTGTATGCTTCTGATTCGCTCTCTGTTTGTTTAAGCTTTCGCTTTTATTAATTTTATCCAAAAATGAGATTGGCTAACTCTTCCTTGCAGATTGGCTCTTCATTTCCCGGTATTGTGACGCCTGTATCAGGCAATAAAAAATTGGTTGAGCCTTGCCGCACGTCTTCAGCGCTCTTAATGTCAGGAAAAACTGATGCCTTCATCAGTGCTACTCTGGTAGAGCCAGAAACGGATGCAACGCCTCCAACCTCCGAAGTATATATTTAAATCAAAATGGAAGTTCTTTTTTCTTTTTCGATTATGATAAATATTTTTATAACACTACTGCAGTGTCAAACGGCTGTATCATCTTCATCTGAGAAGAAACAACCGATGACGTGTGAGGAGGCTACAGAACTGCTAAAAAAATCTTTGGTGTCAATCATCGCAAGAACAGAAGCACAGAGATTAGCTGAAGCTATTGCGCAAGATCCTTCGTTGGCCAAATTTGTAGATATTCCCTTAACCAAGGTTGCATTTGTATTTAACCCATTATTAAATTATGTTTTTAAAACTTAGATTTTACATTGCAGGGATCATAGTTCTCATAGTTCAAATTTGTAAATTTCAGTTTGATAAATATATTGATGATAACCCGGCAATTGCAGCAGCTATTATTGTAACCCGAATCACCGAAAACTGCAGCGAATTGCCTCAGTAATTATTTTTCTGAAGTTTATTCATTTTTAGTTCTGTATCGTATTTGTTGATTGTTGTATTTGTTTACAGGTTTTTTCAATTACTTGCTGGAATGAAGATCTCAGTACAAGCCATGGAAGTAG